AAAAGTATAAGAAATAAACTGATTTCCAATAAAAATTATACACTCACATACATATTTTATTAATAAAATACACCCAAACTTTATTTTCTATTCAATAACAAAAACAAATACAAATGATTTATTGAACAGGCATTACCCCGTTTTCTTTAGTTTCATTTTATTATTGTTTGGAATTCGGACATTCGAATTTTTAAAATAAAAAAAAACCCTGAACCAATGAATTTTCTACAAAAGCTCAACTAATGACAAGATATCATGTGACCTATGGCAATATTCGCGCCAATTTCAGAATCTTTTCCGCTTTTCTTCCCTTATGTCGATTACCAGATCAAGTGAAGTAAAAATTTCCCAACCGATTTGACAACTGTCAGCAGTTATGCACACAAACTGTCATGATTGCCTTTTTAGTGTTCTACTTTAATTCAATAATATTTTATTTGTGATCTAACTAATTCCATTAGTTAAAAAAGATTCCAATACATTTCTTACGTAACAGTACTGCAATCGACAAAATCTGTAAAAGAAGTGGATCACAGAGCCTTGATATTTCTCTGACTTCTGATTGGTCAATTAATCCTATGTTTTCCGTTACGTCCGCATGGTTAAAATTAATTTATTGCCAGAAATCTATCTATGTGTTTCGAGCCTATCACGTGATATACAACATTATAAATACCAAGGGACATCTTCAACTCTCTCTCTCTTTCTCTCTCTTTTGCCTTCTCTCACACATACATGATGTAGCAGTGAAGAAATCGTGTTTGTCCCTTTAAGGGAAAGCGCTATGACGCGCACACACACACACACACACACATGCACATACGTACATACGAAAATTGAACATTTCTTAACTTTCAACTACAAGCAACAGAAACTTATTCAACTTCTCACAGTGAAATTTTCTTCCACAAACATGCCGTCGAAGGGAATACAACTTTTGCCTCTTGACAATATTCACCAGCGAGAAATATTACTTCAAAATCTTCTGGAGCTATAAGTTACGATTCAACTTATTCTCAGCTTTGCAGAATTCTCTCACTCATATTCATCTCTCTTCGGTGAACAATTTAAGCGGAAAGTTATTTCAACTTATTTACGCTAAATTTATTTCAAAAGTTTAAAAACTAAAATTACATTTTAGTATTAAACACAACCTTTCAATATTGTAAGTGAAGATTACATTTTTTTCTCTCAACAAGTTTCCTTGAACTCATACCGAATTTCAGCCTACAACACCTTCTTATCGAAGAATATACTTTCCATTTAAACTTACTATTATTTCGTGAACTGAAATCTTTTCTGTCAGTGCAGATAAAAATATATCTTCCTTAAAGTCTTAACTAAGTCAAACAACAGTTAAAGGGAAATAACTCTTGCTATTAGTTACAACTCTTACTATATAAAAAAAAAACACACTAGATTGCTTTGTATGTCATACAGTAAAATGAAGTTTGTTATTATAAAAACAATTTTTTGTGTCGTTTCTCTTGTTTGCTTTTCGTTGACACATTTGTAAAGTAAAAAATGTACGGGTTGAATTGAGGCCGTTCAAACAGCCACACCTTTAACATCCCAATTACTCGAAGTAATAACAGCCTACAACAAAATCAAATTGTTGAATTAAGATTTAAGAACATTAATTTTCCATATCAATAATGAAGGATTACTGTTCCGGGTAATAATAATAATATTTTACCCTGAAAATGTTAACCCCAGATTCTTAGAATTGTGACTCTTCAGGACGTGGGCGATCTTGTACTTTATAGCTATTAATAAATTTGTCTTTTCGCTATCTCTTTTACCCATTTACACACACTCGTTAGGTAGTTTTCCGACACTGTCCTGTGCATATCAAATTATCCCAGCCTACTTTCTTCATGATGTGCCCTAGAAATGTCAACTGTCTCTTCTTGATGTTAAGTATAAGAGTCTTTTTTGTTTCCATATTCTCTAAAATTTCATCGTTGCTCATATGTTTGGCCTATGGTATTCTCAGCATCTTGCTGCAGAACAACATTTCTGTTGCTTCAAGTCTCTTCTTTGAAATTGATTTTAAGGACGAGATATGATTGGAATTGGAGCATTTCTAACTGAAACTTATCCTTACGTAAAAAGTAGGTAAACATTTTTTCACAACTAATTTTTGTTGCTTAAAAATAAATGTTTTGTCAGAAAATATTTATTCAGGTTTGAAGGAGAAAAAGGATCCGTAATGGAAAATGGGAGAAAAAGCAAGTTCAGTTATCAATGATATGAGCAGTATGCAAATTTGACATTTGTCAATAAAACCAAGGGAAAGGTAAAACGAAATAACTTCTGAAAACTCAGTTATCTGAAACTTAACTTAAGGGATTTTTACAATTAATGTATTTTCAGTGCAAAATAGCCTTAAAAATTCACACGTAAATCTATTATTTCCAAATTGAAATTAAATATCTGAAATCAATATAAATAATTTCTACATTAAAAAGATCCATTTGTTCGGTCATGCTAATGACAAAGCATTTGACAAATGACAATAAATTGAAGCACAGAATTTTGGGCATTTTCATCATCATATATATTTCTTTGTTTTCTTCTTAACATTGTAGAGATTTTCGCGTGTGTATTTGTGTGTGTGTGTGTGTGTGTGTGTGTGTGTTGGTGTGTCTGTGTGTATGCTCGGCAGTGTATAGAGTGAAATGAACAAACCCAAAGCTCGAAATAACTGTTTAACAGATCTATTAGTGGTTGAAAGAGAGTGCAAAATAGTGGTATTTTGCGGGAAAAAGAGTCGGGTCCCCCAGTTAACAGAGTTGTTCCTTTCTCGTAGAGAGAAATTTCTCCGTTTGTTCCATGAGAAACGAAAAATATTGGGTCAAGCTGTCAGAACGGGCCATTTGTCTTCTGCGGCAAGGGCTGTGGGTACTTCTTCGAGCTGGCCTTGAAGGTAGCGGCCACTGAAAAGGAAAAATGGAAAAAAGCTGGCCTTGAAGGTAGCGGCCGATGAAAGGGAAAAGTAGAAAAAGAAAATCCGAATAGCGCTCGGTCAGCGTTTTTATTGATTACTTACGTTGATGCTATCGCTGAATCAAACAAGTAAATAAGCCTCCACATGCACAATAGCCAACAAGCGAGATAGTTATGTTATTTTGTTCAAATAAATTATATAATTATTTTAACATTTAAGTTTTTAAATCATCTTAATTTTTAACAATCATGAAGTCCTGAGCCAAACTCTCAAGGTAAAAGTAGACTTTTGTAGTCAAAGTAAATGAACAATTTAGTGAACTTACATTTTTTTTTTTTTTTTTTTTTTTTTTTTGAGGAAGAAAATCAGTGTTTGTGATTGTGGTGTTGAATCCTGCATTTAGTTGAGGGAAGAATGTGTTGTTCAGTTGAGTGGCGAGACTCTCGACATTTGAAATGACTTGAAAATTATCCAACCCTTATAGTTTCTGGGAGTGGGAGGGTGTCAAAAGAACTTTCTCCAAGACTTCATAGAATTATTTTTATTGCTTGAAAAATAATTTTATTACTCTCTAATAGTGTCCCCAAAATATTTCGAAAAGTTTTATTTAAACTTGCAGAAAAAATGTCATGTTTATTTTAAAATCATGTTAAACTTATTGTAGTTATTTAGCGCCACGATCAAATAATTAAACTAAAAAAAGATTTTTTAGAAATATATGTTAACTTGCATTATTAAACCATTGTATGTTTTAATGTTGAACCCAAATACAACCTAAAATGCCTGCTTTCAGAATTAAATATTTTAAAAGTAAATAAATTAATCTTTGGTATTTGTGGGTTATCTGTCTCTACTTTTTGAAATGCATTTCTTGTGTGTTATTTGTCGCCACATTTCAAAATACGTTTCTCTTGGGATACCGGTCGCCACTTTTTACAATGCTTTTATCGTGTTACCTGTCGACACTTTCAAAATGCGTTTCTTGTGGTTTGTCTGTCGCGCCACTTTTAAAAATGCCTTTCAAGTGTGTTATCTGTCACCATTTTTTAAAATGCGTCTCTTGTTGATTATCTGTCACCACTTTTTAATTTATGTATTGGTGATCTTTTATAAAGTTAGATATGGTATTTAAAATGTTTTTTAATTGTTTTTCTTCTTCTTTTCAAACTGCTAAATGAATTTTGGGGATAGTATATTTTTACATATCTGTATTTGGGAAAAAGCTGGAAAACGAATTTAAAAAATGGTGACAAATATAACCCACAAGTACTTTGCTTATTTTTACATCATACCGCAATTAATAAAAACAAAAATTCGATCTTTAAGCTTGTTCTAACTTTAATAATAGCACCAATGATGAAACTTTTGTTGAAGGCATCAAAATAACGTGAATATCGAAAAAGTATATTTTTAAAATAAAACTGATTTAAGATTCGGTTGTTTCTGTCGTTTAAATTATTTATGAAAACAAAACAACAACACAAACTTTTATTTGTAAATGAAATGTCACGCGTATATATAATTAACTGACACAGACATGCAAACTCACACACAGAAAACATGGCGGATGGAAACCTAGCCGACAAAGCTTAAACTTTCTTAGACTACAGCAATTTGTCTGTTAAAAAAGATTAATCTTTAACTTTGAATCGAGTCAAAAGAAAAAATACCGACACTCGTAAACATTTCAGTATTAACCGCTTAAAAAAAGAAAAAAAATATTGCCAATTATTTATTTTATTTTAGGAGCGGCAAAACGAGTGGATTATCACTCCTTTGCTCCTATAAAATGGAGCGCGTCCCGGTCTCTATCCTTGTAAAAAAGGAACCCTCAGCTCAGTGACTCTAACAAAAAAGGAGCGCGCTCCTTTCAGGAGGGTCACTTAAAGCCCTGTATAAGAGGCAGCAATAATATTGAAGTTGATGATTACAGGCGGAAAATATAGGACATGACAATTCGCTACCCGCCCAAAAATGTCTTGATAAAATAACAGAGAAATAAATGATGTAATATGAGGATTTATTAAATGGAGCAGTCAATAATTATTCATTAATTATCGTTAATCATGTGGCGATCGTAGATTAGATAGATAGATAGATAGATAGATAGATAGATAGATAGATAGATAGATATGAGTCTACTGAGATAGATAGATAGATAGATAGATAGATAGATAGATAGATAGATAGATAGATAGATAGATAGATATGAGTCTACTGAGATAGATAGATAGATAGATAGATAGATAGATAGATAGATAGATATGAGTCTACTGAGATAGATAGATAGATAGATAGATAGATATGAGTCTACTGAGATAGATAGATAGATAGATAGATAGATATGAGTCTATTGAGATAGATAGATAGATAGATAGATAGATAGATAGATAGATAGAGATAGATAGATAGATAGATAGATAGATAGATAGATAGATAGATATGAGTCTATTGAGATAGATAGATAGATAGATAGATAGATAGATAGATAGATAGATAGATAGATAGATAGATATGAGTCTACTGAGATAGATAGATAGATAGATAGATAGATAGATAGATAGATAGATAGATAGATAGATATGAGTCTACTGAGATAGATAGATAGATAGATAGATAGATAGATAGATAGATAGATAGATATGAGTCTATTGAGATATCGAGGATTGGTGACATCATTACTTGCAAAAACAAAACAATCAAAAGCAGAGATGATTTGAAGTAATATAGTGATATATGCGAAGTCGTTATACATTCACACACACGGGGCACAGAACCCATGGGCTCAGTTATTCATCTTTTGTTTGTCATTATCGACACGACAACTGCAATGGAAATAATGGATTAATGAAGTTGAAAAATTAAATATAATTATATATTCATTAACTTCTTCTATGTGCCTCCAGGATGTGGGTGATCATGGTGGTCCACAGTTTAGATAGATAGATAGATAGATAGATAGATAGTGTTGAAACTTGACTAATGCATGGAATAATAATGCAACACAAAATGTACTTAGAACAAAATGTATTGAAACAAGAAAGTGTACACAATATTTACATATAGTCTTTTGTATATTCCTGGTAAGACCGTTCCTGGAGAATGTGTTGACTGAGTCGCAGTCGGCCAGAGTCTCTGGTTGAATCTCTTGATTCCTTCCTCTCTTCCCGGTACCAACCATATTTATATGGTCGGTACTCCACTATGCAAATTAGGTGGATCCTACCACAACAAATAGATAGATAGATAGATAGATAGATAGATAGATAGATAGATAGATAGATACAATTTTACTGAGATAGATAGATAGATAGATTTTCTAAAAAGGAAACATTTAAAATATAGTTTCATTCATTTGTAAATAAGCCCTGTCAATTTCATTAAAATCTAACAATTATCTGATTTTTGCAACTATTTCTAAATCAATGTTTTTTCCAACACTGCCTTTTTTGGTGGTATTCGTTTCTCAAGGCCAGAAAACGCTCAAATTTCCCATATGGTATTATGTTGACACCAGAAAAACAAAATTTTTAACCAAAATTTCGAAGGTTCTGTTATGATTGATGATAATAATATCTCATTATAAAAAAAATAATAAAAATAAAAATCTGAAATTTCATTATTCTAAAAATAACTTTTCCACTGTCGCCAGTGACAGTCCGAAACAAACTTAAGAAGACCGTTCCACCACAAACAGGGAGAGAGAGATAGACTAGTGAAATCAACACAGACTTAAAAAATAAGATGTATTTTCTTCACTCCAGCAGTTGATAGTTTCAAAAGCCTCCCTCAACCAAGAAATTTTCGGAACGATTATAAACAAGTAAGACCAAATTAAAAACAAAAAAAAAACAATAACCCTGAGAACATTAACATATAGAACACCAGTATTGTAATAACATTATGAAAATACACATTCTTATTAATTTCAACACGTGTCACAAAGTCTTGTTTTTTGTATTTTATTGTTGTACGTTATATACATTTCTTTTTCAGTATAAAAAAAGAAAAGAAATCCTCTATCAACTACTAATATATGTAACAAGGGTAACTCGACCTCTAACAGCTCTTACTCTGATTAAAAGAACCGAAAGCAAGTACAAAAATAAATGAAAAATATGGAGAATAGAACAGAGGAATCTTATGTACAACAGATGAATATCGGAGCACCAGAATTTATGAAAACAGCAGTGAATATTTGGTTTTCTATAACAGAAGCACAATTCCATCAATGCCATATAACAGTATCTGTCCGCAAGGACACATGGCACAGTGGATAAAGGCGTTGGTTAGATTCAGTTCCAAGACCCAAAGAGTGTGAGTTCAATACCCGGTTAAGGCAATGGAGAACTTGGAGAGGGGAATTAACTGGAGATAACTGATAATTGACATCCATTAAACATGGCACCTTGGAACTAGAACAGTCTGAACAGGGTTCAGTTCGACATTCCAACTACCAAAAGAAGGAGCGTACAACGAAACGTTGTAATAAATATGGCGACAAAGATGAGGACAATAGTCCGAATAATGTAAATAGTGTCCATATAATAGCATCAACCACAAAATTCTTTGCGGTGATATCTCAACCTGTCGAGACGATGGCAAAAATACCCACATCAGTATTAGAGTCGCAAAAGTACGAAGAAATAAAACGAACATTAATGGAAACACACAAAAAGTCAAAACCGGAGCTCCTAGACAAACTAATGTCCACAACAAATATTACAGGGTGACATTCGGCGCACCTACAAGAAATGATTTTAATAGCAAAACGGAGAGATATCGACGAAGAAATTATGATACACGAGTTACTCCATGCCTAACAACTATTTCACAGAAGGAGTAAACCTCTACTCAACTCGGCAAATTGACGGACGAAGTTATACCCTTACTAAACAACGTAAACGCAACGGCATTCATTGCTCGACAAAATACAACAATTATCCAACAGCAAAGCCTACGCTGAAATATGTAATTGAGACAATGCTGTGCCAATAGGTATTAAACCATTTTACCAGGAACAACAACCCAGATTATGCAGAGCATATCTATATTTTGAGGAGTATGCGACGACATGTAAACTGTGGTGCAAATGGCCCAAGAAACGCGGTATGCAAATATTATCCAGGTCCCGTCAACCGAACGTTACAGCAAGCAACTCGGAAAACTAATTGTGCGAACCAGTACTATCCCGCTCAGTTCGCCGCTGCTAGAAATTACCAGACGATTAGGGGCAAATAAAATAAAGTTTATATCAGACACGTGTGCAAGCATTTCAATAATACCGATGCCAATAATAAATGGGATGGCATTAGACCCGACTCCCGTATCTCCATCTACTACAAATGGAAAAAAAAATGCTTTGTACAGGCAAACTTGGCTTATTTTTAAGAACTCTGTGATCGCAGACATCACTAATCCACTTCTTGGATTTGACTTCTTTAACGAATTTGACCTGACGATAGACTGCAGCAACAGGGCAATTTACAAGCCTTTGACTGCCACAAAAAAGGATTTAAACCTAACAATAACATCTCCAGCGAATCTGGTGATCAACGATGTTGAACTTCCTTCATTCATCCGAACCACCTTGAACAAATACCAGGAAATTATTTCACCACACAAAAATATCAGTAAAAAATATTGCGGCGTTTACCACATAATTAAAACGGGAAGACATCCGATGGTATTTACGAAAGCCAAGCAAAGTCTGCTGAAAAACTCGAAGCGGTGAAAACGGAATTTAAAAATTTGATAAAGGAGTGATTTCTCCTTCGAAGAGCGAATGAACAAACCTACTACATTTGGTTTCAAAACAGAATGGAGGATAGCGATGTTGTGGAGCTTATCGTGCACTGAATAGCATAACTACAGTTGACAGATACCCAACACCAAATATTAACTCCTTTTCTTCAAACCACGCAAATAAACAGCAATTTTCTAAAATTGACTTAATTTCAGCCTACCACCAAATCAAGATGTACCAAAATGATGTTCCATAAACACCGATTACTTCTCCATTTGGACTTTATCAGTATGAATATATGCTATTTAGGTTAAGGGACACATCAGCGATGTTCCAGCGATACATGGTTAAGATTTTCAGAGACATTGACTATATATATATATATATATATATGACATTTTAATTTTTAGTGATGACGTACCCTCTCACAAAGACATAGACTCAGTGTTCAAATTTTTACACGAGAATAATTTAAAAATATCAACCTCAAAATCTGTTTTCAATGTGACTTCCCTAAATTTCTTAGGCTTTCAAATTGATTCAAAAGGAATTACACCTACCACTAATAAGATAAAAGAAATGGAATATTTCCCCTACCCTAAAGATACAAAACGTCTACGCCGATTCCTTGCTATGGTTGGATTCTGTCGAAAGCTAATTCCAAAATTTGCCGAACTAGCCTTGCCCATGCCTGAAAGCATGAGATTAACACCCAAAGGATCATTATATTAAATGATTCAGAAAAACAATCCTTCGATGATGTCTTAAAAAACTCGGAAAATAAACATTAGCTCATCCTCAACTGAAATGTGCACAATACCAGTTGGTCACAGACAGCAGCAAATATGCAGTAGGTGCTGCATTACATGAGATTATAGATGGAAGCCAGTTGCCTATAGGATTTTTCTCGAAGAAACTATCACAAACACAAAGCAGGTACTCAACCTTTGATCGTGAACATTTAACAGCATTTTTGTCAGTATTAGATTTTTACCACCTTATAGAAAGTCGCCAAGTATTACTGCTGACCGACCACAGGCCAATATGCGATGCATTTCACAGTTTAACACCTGTCAAATTAGATAGACAACAGAGACAATTAGACATTCTCACGGAATTCATTTCAGATATAGCTTATGTAAAGGTTAGTCAAAACATAGTCGATGATTGTCTCTCACGCCTGACACTTGCTGTGCAAGTAGATGCCTGCGATTTACCAACACCTGCTGAGGCAGAAATATCTGAATCTGAAATCCGAACCTTTACAGATTTAGGGAAATTCAGCCTACCTGGAAACAACCGATTTTTGTTGTGTGGCGCATAAAAATCATACCCAAGACTTTGTGCCAGTTGCAAGTTGCATTAATCTGTATTTATCAGAATACATTCAATATCACGCCCGGAATTAATCATCCATTAAGATGATGAAGGCTAGATTTTACTGGCCAAATATGGATAAACTTTGTGCAACGTGTACATCCTGCCAACAAGCATTGGACAAACAATGGAAATACAAACATTGGAAATACCGTCACCAAGACTTAATACTGTACACATTGATATAGTAAGACCACAGCCACCAGAAAAAAGTTCGAATAACCCTTATATCAGCCCATATCGATATATTCTAACTTTCACTGATCGAACCAGTCGTTGGATAGAAGCACAACCAAAGTTAGACATTACTGCACAGAATGTGTCTGAGGCTTTTGAAAATGCGTGGATCACCCGCTTTGGTGTTCCCCTGCCTAGACATAGGTACACAATTAGAAAGCTAATTGTTTTTAGAATTATCAGAAATTATTGGTTTCTATTGGCTACGCACAACAGCCTATCATTCTCAATGTAACGGTCTGACTGAAAGAGCAGATAGGACTATTAAAACAGCTATTATAGCCCGAAAAGAATTCTAGATTTCAGTCCTACCAATAATTCTTCTGGGAATTCGGAGCATGTCTAATTGGTGTGGGTTTTCGGCTTTTTATGCTGTTTTAGACACAGAAATGTTAATAGCACAGTTAGTCCTAGACACTACAAATGAGGAAACTGCGACTCAGCATTTCACAAGACAATTATATATCAATGGCACAATTTGATTTCAGAAATTTTTCTAAAAAATCAAATAAATCACAAAAATCCTATTCCAGATCAGCTTCAAACTTGAGATAAAGTCTGAATTAGATTAGATCATGTTCAAAGGTCATTAGAACTACTAATATATGTAACACAGGGTAACTAAGATTAATACAATCAACACCGTAACAGTTCTAAAAAGGATTAAAAAATCCTTTTCGCATCAAAAAAATCCTTAGGTCATTCCGCCAAAGGATTTTGATGATACGTTTTTATTAAGTATTAGTCATTTTTTTCATCGTGTATTCTCACTTTTTCTTCGTATTTTGTACAAAATGAAAATGAAATACATCTACATCCTACTCTCCTTGTCTGTCAAAGTTTTATCCTAAACTTCACTCAACAGAGAGAAAAGGAAATATGTTTGAGGGCAGCTAAGTGGTTTGGTTAAAAGTGAAACAAGCAAAAGGCTTGATACTGGCAGACTTGAAAACAAGCTGATTTTTTATTATTGAAATATGTTTCTATAAAAAAATTAGAGATAGAAAGATAGGTAGCCAAAAATGTTCTTTGACAGAAAAAATATACAAACAGCACAACCCTACCAAAATGCATATGGGCCCAAATAGAAAACAATATCCCTATCAAAATCAAATGGGAAATTATCAAAAGGGTAACACCATACAGTCTTAACAGTAAAAACTGTAAACTATGCTTAATAATAATTAGTTTTAGAAACTAAAATAAACTCTTAAACAAGAAAACAGAAATAATGGGTAAGTGTAGGTATATAAATAAACAGCATCTATGCACGAATAAAAAATAAATGGATAAAAAAAAATTAAATAGATATAAACTTAAAAATAAATAAATTAAATAAAATGAAATAAACAGATGAATATATCAAATATACACATGTAAACATGTATGTATGCGCATGTGTATATGTATATAAATGCACATATACACAAATAACAAACCTAACCTTCCATAATTAATTAATAATAGTTAAGACAAAACAAAGATAAAAAGAAACTACTAGTTCTTAAACAAAAAATGAAACGATAAATAATAACATATGAAGAAATATTTAATTTACTACCTAAACATTATGTGTGTGTGTGTGTGTGTGTGTGTGTGTGTGTGTGTGTGTGTGTGTGTGTGTGTATTTTTTTTTTAATCATTTCACCCGGAGCAAGGCAGGAATGCCACTAGTAAGCAGGGGGTTACAGAGAGTGAAAGCGAGAGAAAAAAACTGGCTATAGGAGGGAACGAGGAAATGATAAAAAACTGAACGGGGCTTAAGAAGATAGACGATTTATTGACTAACGCGATCCTGTGAAATTTTTCGAAAGTACTCGAACCTTCATCAACGCTTCCATCTGACAATAATTTAAACATAAGGATCGCGTTATTATATATATATATATATATGCGTGTGTGTGTGCGTGAGGATAGATAGGAGGCGATATATATGTACATAGCTAGATAGATATGACTTTACTGAGATAGCTTGTGAGAAATATGGCATTATGTTGACACAAGAAAAACAAGATTTATCACCAAAATTTCGAAGCTTCTAAAAAGTATTAAAAAATATTTTTTTACATCAAAAAATCCTTTGGTCATTCCTCTTAATAATATATCAAAGGTTTTTGGCGATAAAACTTCGTTTTTATTAAGTATTAGTAAATTTTTTTATCATGTATTTTCACTTTTTCTTCGTATAACCAAAGAAACATTTCCTTTTATCTTTTTGTTTAAAATGAAAATGAAATACATCTACAGTGCCAAAGTTTTATCCTAACCTTTGAAAGTGTTTAAAGATAAAATTAAAGAAAGAAAGAAAAATAAGCTAATAAAATAAACAAAATAAAAATAAAATTAAATCAAATATATCAAATAAAGAAATAAAAATAAACATAAAATAAAATAATCGAATAAATATAATAAATATACACATGTATACGTGTATGTATGTGTGTGTGTGCGTATATATAAATATGTACTTATACATATATACAAACAACAAATCTAATCTTCCATAACTTTATATAATATTTAGGCAACACCAAGACAAAAAAAACACAAGTTACACCAATGAAAATCTGCATGAATATATATATATATATATATATATAGATAGATAGATAGATAGATCTTTACTGAGATAGATAGATAGATAGATAGATAGATAGATAGATAGATAGCAGCTTATATATAGATATAGATGCAGATATATAGGGAGATAGATATGACTATATAGATAAAGATAGATAGATAGATAGATAGATAGATAGATAGATAGATAGATAGATAGATATGAAAACAAAGATTTTCTAAAAAGGAAACATTTAGAAAATAATTATATTAATTTATGAATACATCATGTAATTTTCATTAAAACCCAACAATTATGTAGTTTTTCCAAGTATTTCCAAATCAATGTGTTTTTCAACCTCAAAAGACGCCCATCCCGTACTAATTTATGGTAAACAAAGTTTTTTGACGATAAAAGTTTGTTTTTAAGTATGTCAGTTGTTTATCATGCATTCACAGCCTTTTTCTTGGTATAAAAAGATATTTCCTTTTACTTTGTACTAAATAAATATAAAATACATCTGCACCTTCCTGTTCGCCCTGTCTGTCACAGTTTTATACTAAACCTCGATCGAAAGAGAGAAAAGAAAAAAAAAACGTTTGAGTTCAGCTAAGTGCCTTGGCTAAAAAGTGAAACAAACAAAAGTCTAGATATTGGCAGACTTGAAAACAAGTTGTGGTTTTATTGAAATCTCGTTCTATATTAGAGTTGAACTGAGTGGTAAATATTAATAACTCTTGTGGACTCTTCTAATCTAACCTTCTCCAACCTTAAAAAGCATAATCCATATTATACGCCTACGCGCAGATAACGCTCAACCAATAAAAATGCAAAGAATCGAATCAAGCAATTCTATTGGTAGATCGCCTCCCAAAGCAAGAATTGCGCCAAAATATCTTGAGCCCACAAAAGGTTATAAAGGAGAAAAAGAAAAGTCAGTCAGTCTAGCTCAAAAGGTTCAACTCTCTGTCTAAAAGGAGCTAAAAGACAGGGGGTCGCTCAACCCTGAACCCGTTTCACGGGTTCAAGTCCAGCTCATTTTTGAGCGACTGCAGGAATGCCCGGTTCAATCTCTCTGCTCACTTTTGAGCGACTCACGGGACGGAGTCTCCTTCAGGAGGAACCCGAAGGTTCAAATGGGCTATTTTTGGCTGAGCCTAAGGGCTCAGGAATGCTAAAAAACGCCGAACCCTCGTGGGTGGGGACTGAGTCTAGCTCTCCTTCAACTCTCTGTCTCCGGGAGGAACGAAGGAGGCTACGCCGCTCAGCCCTGAACCCGTTTATACGGGTTCAAATGGGCTATTTTTGGCTGAGCCTAATGGCTCAGGAACCCATTAAAAAAGGCCTTGTGCCGAACTGCCCACACGGTTCAACTCTCTGTCTCCGGACGGAAGGAAAAAGGCCTTGTGAAAGTCTCCTTCGGGGACACCCTCGTGGGTGGGTGACTGAATATCTGAATATCTCAGTCCAGCTCACTTTTTGAGCGACTGCACGGTTCAACTCTCTGTCTCAACTCTCTTGTCTCGGCCCGGACGGTTCAAATGGGCCTATTTTGGCCCTAATGGAGGCTACATTAAAAAGGCCCGAAGCCCTCGTGGGTGGGTGACTGAATATCTCAGTCTAGCTCCTTCTGAGGACTGCAGGTTCAAAATTCGGCCCTGAACCCGTTTATACGGGTTCAAATGGGCTATTTTTTTAAGGGCAGGAATGCCCACATTAAAAAGGCCTTGTGCCGCATGACACCCCTAATGGCAGAAGTCTCCTTCGGGGAGGTCGCTCGGCCCTGAACCCGTTTATACGGGTTCAAATGGGCTATTTTTGGCTGAACCTAACTCAGGAATGCCCACATTAAAAAAAGGCCTTGTGCCGCATGACACCCTCGTGGGTGGGTACTGAATATCTCAGTCTAGCTCACTTTCTGAGCGACTGCACGGGCCTACGCCGAAGGCAGAAGTCTCCTTGTATCTCGGACGGAACCCGAAAGGAGGCTACGCCGAGGGGCGAGTCTCCTTCCCTGAACCCGTTTATACGGGTTCAAATGGGCCCTATTTTTGGCTGAGCCTAATGGCTCAGGAATGCCCCATTAAAAAAGGCCTTGTGCCGCATGACACCCTCGTGGGTGGGTGACTGAATATCTCAGTCTAGCGAACTCGCCGATCGATTGCCTAATTAATCCACGACATTCAAAAAACAGAATTTTACCGCGCATTTTGACGAACTTCAACTGACTCACCTGAAACACTCAACGAACAACTATCGAAACTTTGAACAATATTTCTTATGCACATTGATTTATTCATTACTAAAAATAAGAAATACGAATCACGAAAACAAACACAGACACGTCAAAAAGGTAGACTACTTTGTAAACTTTACCAAAAAAAACTCTTATTATATATTTCAACACAAACACAAAATAACAAACATAACGACACAGAGACATCCAACATTTCAGCAACATATACAATTAACGCACGCAACAATACAAATATTAACCTTGTTTGTAAATATGTAATGGTATATAAATGTTTTATTTGTTTCGATCTATAAATGTCTCGTTTTTACTTTGTTTGAAATCTCATGTTTGTTATATATTTGTTTGGGACAAGGTTTAGACACACAACCGATCCGAACAAAATCCTTCTGATTAATTAAATGAACCAAAAGTCCCAACACTCTCTTTACTCACTTCCTTCATAATCGGAGGACTGAGGAAAAAAACGAGAAGTAATTCATAAACCTATATGAAATAGTTTTTGGATCAATGAAAACATTGTCTTCACATAAATTAGACGTTGAGACAAGAAGAAGAAAGAAAAGAAATTAGTAAGCCTATGTGAAATCCCTTAAATGAAGAAAAAAATGAAATTAATAAGAGAAGAGGGTCTGAAGTCATGACAAAGATTTCGTTTCTGTTCACTGCGTCCAGTGTTCAAGTTCTTGTCCGTGTAAAATTATTTGCCAATTATATTATCGACCTTTAATCAAGAATAAGGTACTTCAAAGAATTTTCTCTCAACTATCCAAGTTCAATATTTCAAAGTATTTCACTTCGTCTACTTTTGAAAGTATGCAATTATATATTCCTTCGGTGAACAATGGACTCTCTTACCTTTGTTTTAAACATTTTTTAATATTATTTTCTATCAGATCATTTAATCTGTTGTATGAACATTTCCACTTCATGACAATTCGCTAAATCTATTTATTTTCCTGAAATGAGCTACTGACACAACTTCAATTGTGTAAATTTATAAATAACTTCCTTATCTTGTTTTGTTAAAATTACCCATGTGTTTCCTTCATACTTCATTTTAACCTGGAAGCCCCACGCCACTATAGAGCCTAAATTGGTTATTTGATTTTTTTCTTTCTTTACCTCTTCCTTTCAGAAGTATTTACCTCTCTAAATCTTCTGTTTCATTTTTTTCTTTTTTGATTGATGTTGTTATCTCACTCTCTCAATGGTATCTGTTTAAATTTTAGTTTAAATTTCACGTTTGAATCAATTATCATTTTTATTACAATTAATCTTAATATTTAGCAGCCATCGTGTTTCTTTCTTTTTTACACTGCTACTTTTGAGAAGGATAATTAGCTATTCTTCCATGGTTCTAGGGATAGAATACTACTCCCTTTTCTACCCGAAAAGTCCCAAAATAAACTAGAATGTCAGTTAAACATCGCATGGTTATAAAGAGTTCTCTGGGCCAATGATAGACTTTCCAAATAAGTTAAATGAATGAACATTCTGAAAAGTAACTTAACTGGAAAGCCAAACCCAGAACCGCTTTGAAAGATCTTTCAGAGGTATCTACCATTTTAATTTTTTGTTGAATTTTTAATGAATATCTTGTCTAAGTTGAAATTTAGTAACCATTTTTTTTAATAGGAGTATATAGGCATTCCATTAGCTCGGTGATCACCCCCCTTTCTCTTGAACAGGAGTAGAGGGTCATCCCTTGTTTCCTGTTTAAGAAGGATTACCCCGTTCCTTTCCTCTTCTGAGGTATTAATAATGGTGCTTTCATGAATTGTTTGTAATTTGTGTGGATGGTGATTACGTCTCTTCATATCAGGTTGGTAGTTTTCTGGTTGCTGCCTCGACTGTTAGTTAAAAACCTAAACTTTTGCGGGGCGCCTAGAGAGGTTGCTCTGATCACCAGTCGCATAATATCGGAGTCAGTGCCATATCGCGCATGGAATGATGCCCCTGCAAGTAGCTTTGGTGGGCATCCTCGAGGCCACACTATGTTGCAGCCTGTGCCAATTCCCAGCCCCACTGCTACTACTATTCTCGGCCTTTTTCCTTACCCAAATAACAGACCACGGTGACAAGCAACCAACAAAATAAAACTAAACCCCTCGAACTTTCTTTCTCCAACATTCCTGGTATTCCAATTTCTGTAGTGTGGAATCGTTATTCTTCGGACATCCTAACTTTCTGTGAAACTAATCTTAACATTGCAATTCTTTACTCTGAAATATCGATTCCTGGCTATCTTCTTCTCTTTAGGAAGGACTTGAATGTTCACATGCATGGCCTGTGGGTTTATATCCGTGAACATCTCCTGATGTCTAAAGAACTCTCTCTTGAATCTCCTGACCATTCTCCGTCTTTCTCTACTAAACTCGGTCAACTATCGCTTTTTTCTCTATTGTTCCCCTTCCTCTCATGACTGTTGCGGCCTAGATAGTATTTCTGATAATATAGACAAGGCCATCTCCCTACACCCTACTGCAAATATATTTGTGTTCGGTGATATTAATGCCCACCATTCCAGGTGGCTTAATCACACTGTCACTGACCTCGCTGGCATCCAAACCCTGAACTTCTCAATCACACAATCTCTCACGCAAATGTTGAACTTCCCCAGGTGTTTCTACGGTAATCCTGGTAGACGCGCTTCTCTTCTTAATCTCTTCTTTATCTAAGTTGTACTCTGCAGCTCTGTCTTCTTGGCAACTCTGATCATGCGATAGTGTCTGTAAGCATCTCTTTCTGCTCAACCAACAGTCAAGAATCTCCTATTGACAGAATATCTTTCTGTTATTAACAAGCTGATTGGGATTCGTTCCGTGACTTCCTTCCTGACGTCCCTTGGAATGAAGTTTTTAATCACCCTGTAAAAAAAAAATGCGCCTCTTGAGTCTCCCACTGGGTGAAATCCGGTATTGAAGCTTTCATTCCAGCACAGAAATACCAAGTTAAACCATGTTCATCCCCTTGGCTCTCACCCGCATGCTCGGCCGCTAAAGCCAGCAGAAATCACTTCTTCCTGCTGTGCCAGAGCGATATGTCTGATTACAACAGACGTCTCTTTGTCTCTTCTTGTAATGAGTGCAAGCGTGTCCTCAAAGAAGCGAAGTTACTGTTTACTGATAGAATGAAACAAGCTATCGCCTCTCACAAGTTCATTTCTAGAGATTATTGGTGACTCTGCAAAAGTGTGCTGAACAACAGCAAATCCTCAGTATCTCCACTATTCAATCAATTTGAAGTCCTGACATCTACAGGACATAAGGTTAAGTGCTTTCATCGGAAGTTCTCTTTCAACTCCACACTCGATTCATCTGCAGTTTTACTGAGTGACATGTGCATAAGCCCATCACTGGTTTCAGGCAACTTTTCCAAACTAGACTCCTATAAGGCAAGCGGAGGTAACGGGATCCCAACCGTCGCTCTCGAGATGGCTCCAGCTATCTACAAACTCTACAACAATTGCCTTGCTTCTTCCTTTTTTTCTAGCTTATTAGAAGTCCTCCGTAGTTCTTATTTTTAAGACCCCCCTGAGCACTCAGATTATCGCCTTAGTAGTTTCTTACTGCTTTTCAGCAAAGTAAACGGAGTGCATGGTCGTCAGTACGAGGATGAGCCCGAAATGCGATCTGAAGGTCGGGAACACTAGAATCAATCAGACGCGGAAGTTTAACTACCTGAGAAGCGTCTTGACAGAGGACGGTAAGTGCGACACTGAGATCCGTAGGCGTATTGGGGTGGCCAAGGACATATTCCAAAAGCTGAGCAGAGTACTGCGAAACAGGAGGATATCTTTGGTAACGAAGAAAAGAATATTGAGCTGTTACGTGACACCTGTCCTTCTTTACGACAGCGAATGTTGGATGATTTCCTCAAAGATGAAAAAGAGACTCGAGGCGACAGAGATGTAGTTCTACAGAAGGATGCTAATGATATCATGGACTCAGCGTGTGAGCAACGATAAGATCTTAGAGAGGTTGCAAACAAGGGGGAGGCTTATACTTAATATCAGGAAGAGGCAGCTAAAGTTTCCGGGACACATAATGAGGAAGGAGGGCCTGGAGAATCTGATAATCACAGGTCGAATAGAGGGGAAAAGAGACAAGGGAAAACAACGCGTGACATATCTGACGGACTTAAACAAGTGGATGACAGAACATGGTCTGGGGGATGATTCAGAGGGAAGGAACTTGTTGAGAGCTGCAAGGGATAGAGGGCGGTGGAGAGCCATGATCGCCTACGTCCTGAAAGGACATGGCACATGAAAAGAAAGATTCGAGACTCTAATCAATGCTGAAGTGGTTAAGCATCTTACTTCTCACGACCCCCTCTCGGACAAACAATATGGCTTCCGTTTCGCCAGGTCTATCGCTGATGTATTAATGGCCATCACTGAATATGTATATCAAGCTTTTGATAATAAGGCGAAACTCTTGCTGTGGTTCTAAATACCTCGAAGGCGTTTGGTACGCAAGCTCCATTGCTACGGTATCACAGGACGAATGTTTGATTTAATCCAATCATTCCTATCAAATTGTGAAATGAAGGTCGTTTTGAACGGACTCGCTTCCAGATCCTTTCATATGATCGCGGATGTCCCCTAGGGTTCTATCCTGGATCCTTCACTTTTTTTGATCTTCATCAATGGAAATCACACGGAAATACGGACATTGAAACAATGAACTCGGACTGGAAGCAAACACGGTATAACGGAAAAACGAAAAATAGCTCTAAAAATCTGCTGGAATGTACGAACATTATCTGATAGCTTAATTGGTTTATGTCCTGGATGGCATACAGTAATTGTTGTCAGAGAATTCAATCGTTACGGCGTAGACATAGCAGCTCTGTCCGAGACACGAATTTCAGATGACGGTGACAGGCTGGTGACTTCCTGATTACAACTTCACGGAGGTCGCTATGCCACAATTATTAGTGTTTATGCACCAACACTTCCCGTCGAAGAGGTAGATAAGTTAGCCTTCTACAAAGAACTGCGTACCCTTCTTAACACTGTACCAGAGACAGAAAAAATCATCTTGCTAAGCGATTTTAATGCCAGGGTCGGTCGTGACTGGGAGGTATGGAACTGTGAGAGGAGGTATGGGGTTCGTAACATTAATGGAAATGGGCTACACCTTCTCTAACTATGCACAGGATTTAACCTGCAAATCACAAGTACGCAGTTTCGTCACAAAGGGGACCACAATACAACTTAGATGCACCCAAGATCTCGACAATGGCAACTCATAGACTACATCATTGTCCGGAAACGGGATATGTAAGATGTATGCAATGTAAAGTCTCTTAAAGGTGCAGACTGCTGGACCGGCCACACTCTCATAAGATCAAAAAGGAAGTTGATAATCAAACCAGCTAAGAATAGAGAAACTTCCAAAACTTCTTAATGTGGCCAAATTATACGATGCAGAACCTCAGAAAACTCTTCAAGTTCGCCTTGCAACCTATGTCAACTCACCTTCATGGCCAAATGCACGAGAACAGATATTCACTGCCACAAAAGGGGTATTTAGTCTTGGTCAGCCAAAAAGCTGTCATTGGTTTGATGAGAATGACGAAACAATTAGAGGTAAACTGACGAAGATAGATAGATAGATAGATAGATAGATTGTTATATGTACGAATAGCTTCAGAGAAATAGAAATGAAGAGAAATAGACACTGTACATGCGTATACAATGTGACAGATATGAAGTTACACATAGATAGATAGATAGATAGATAGATAGATAGATAGATAGATTGTTATATGTACGAATAGCTTCAGAGAAATAGAAATGAAGAGAAATAGACACTGTACGTGCGTATACAATGTGACAGATATGAAGTTGCACATAGATAGATAGATAGATAGATAGATAGATAGATAGATATGAACACAGATAGATATGAACAGACTTAGATAGATAGATAGATAGATAGATAGATAGATAGATAGATAGATAGATAGATTGTTATACTTACGAATAGTTCGAGAGAAATAGAAATGAAGAGAAATAGACACTATACATGCGTGTGCGCATACACAATGTAACAGATATGAAGTTGGACATAGATAGATAGATAGATAGATAGATAGATAGGAATGAAGAAAAACATTTTCTAAAAAGAAAACATTTAAAAATAATTACATACTTTTGTAAATATGTTCTGTCAGTTTCATTAAAATCTAACAGTTATCTGATTATAGATAGATAGATAGATAGATAGATAGATAGATAGATATGGGTCTATTGACATAGATGGATACATAGATAGATTGAGCTACAAATGAAGATGAAGAGCCAAGTCACCATGTCGTATGTGCGTGCATGTGCGTATACAAAATGAGATAGATGAACATGCGCGTAGATTTTGAAAAAGAAATCAATTTACTTCCTTTTCATACTAGTGCAGTGACCTTAAACATAGTAGCGGCCCCAAAATAAAACTTATCAGTAACAGCTCTCGAATATAATATTCTTTACACTACTTACGTCCAAACAAGACAAATGTCAGTAAGTTTTCACCAGCAGCGGCAGCACTAATCAGCATAGTATCTTTGAGTTCAGTCCCTGGAAAGGGCAGTGCGTACTTGGACTCAGTGGAAACGGGTGAGTAGTACTAAAAATAACACTGAACTGTCTATTCAAGTAAATTAAATAAAGGGTTCAGTTCAGTATTTAACCAGAAACGTTGTGATAACAACAACAAAATGGGGCAATTGTCCGAATGTAATTAGTATAAATAATGATAACTCCTCATTGCAGAAATTCAGACTGAGTCGCGAGAAGGGAAAGGGATTGTAAGGTGGAAAATAACATGGACAATTGATGGTCAAACATTCAAAATGAATTCTAAACGGAGCTTCTGTTTTAGTTCCACCTACCAATAATATATACTTTATGCACAAACCAATAAAAAAATATTTATATCTGATAGAAACTGCTAATTTGAACGTACATTTTTGTATGTGATGCCTTAAAGTTGTATTGTTGCTACCACGATGCTGATGACATAGGTATTCAAAGTTTGGCTTTCATTCTGTATATGTGATCAAACGACTCTAGAAAATTACATAACTCTATATCAATAGAAAACTTCATACCTGCTTGGTCGACTTCACGGTAGCATATAATCACATCAATATAGACTTCCTTTTCTTAACCATAAGAAAAAAATCTTCCAAACTTTGATTCAGCTGGATGTCTGGACCTGATAGAAGAACTATATCGGTTAACAAAATCATACATATCTGGTGAGGACTATAATACGGAAACATTTTACATCTTATCAGGAGTACGAAAAGGAGGAAAAGAGAGTCCCACTCTATTTAATCTCTTCATAAACTACGCTTGCACATATACAAGCACAGATGTGAAGAGATGGGCACTGATCATTTAAGCATTCTATACACATCCCAAAGAATCTACTAATAGAAAAAAAGCGATCCTGTGTACCCCGCCACACCATTTTCAATGTACTGATGAAGAGGGGTTATGCTGATGCTATAGGTATTGAGTTGGGAGAAAAACGATCTTGAAAAGCCAAAAATACAATGTTTCAAGAAATAGCACAAAAAGATAAAACTTTTTAAAAAATAAATTATGATTTATAATTGGAATGAAAGCAGTGATGGTATCTGCCCTGAATCTACCATTCATCATTTGATTGTCATTATCGAGATGACAACTGGCATGAAAATAATGGATTAATAAATTTAAAAAAAAATTAAATATAGTTATATATTCGTCAACTTCTTTTTAATCTATGTGCATCCAGGACGTGGGTGATCATGAGTGACCAGGGTTTAGATAGATAGATAAGTCTACTGAGATAGATAGGTAAGTCTCACTCTCTCTCTCACTCTCTTTCTTTCTCTCTCTCTCTCTCTCTTTATATATATATATATATATATATATATATATATATATATATAGTATATATAGATAGACTGAGATAGATAGATAGATAGATAGATAGATAGATAGATAGATACGAGTCTGAGATAGATATGAATATTGAGATAGATTATTAGTCTATTGAAATTGAAAGAAAGATACGTCTATTGAGATAGATAGATAGATAGATAGATAGATAGATAGATAGATAGATAGATAGATAGATGTTGGATATCAGTTGGGGAAAGACGTTTTGACGTCACTTCCGCTGCATCATTGTGTCAGTGGAAATCGGAACTGGTGATAGCATAAATAGGAAATGCATTCAGTGGCTAAAATGAACAGGACGCAAAGGAGTCTTGAGCCTAAAATAAACAGGACCCATAGGTGTCCCAAGCCTTGAATATACAGTGCGCACATGTGTTCTTAGTGGAAGCAAATGCGTGCTTGCGTGGATAGATAGATAGATAGATAGATAGATAGATAGATAGATAAGTATATCTGGCCATTCGTATTCGAGAATGCCCGTCTACTAGGGCGGCTAGCCAATCCCTGTTGCAGACGCTTGCTCAGGTGTATTTGTGTTTATTCAACACCCACGGAGCCCATCTGTGGTTTATATGGGAACGTGGCCGAGTGGTTACAACGTTCGCATTCTAACCATAAGATATTATCGGACTGGAGGGGTCGATCCCAGCGTGCGACACCTTTGCCTGAAAACCATACCACAGATTGACCCAAGCTTTGGGAGTGAAATTGGTTAGACGGAACCCTTAAGGGCCGTCGATAGATGTACTAGCACGAAGTCACAAGCCATTTTGGCTGAGGGCTTGAGCGTACTGGCTTTATTCAAATTGTTGATCACGCTAGATAACAGGCTCTTTCCCAGAAGCTGTAACTAAGATAGATAGATTTTTATATATGTGTTCGTCGCCTTATTTGAGCCCAGCAGCAATATACTACATAGATATTTATCATAAGTCTATTGAGATAGACAGATAGATAGATAGATAAGAGTCTACTGAGATAGATAGATATATGATCGATCATGCTTGAAATTTATAAAATCTTTCTCCTAAAACAATTTTTCAGCAAAATAGTTTTCTCAAATCCAGTAATTATTATGATTCTTTCCAGTATTGGTGGGGGTTTCCTTCCTAGCCTTTTATTTGAAGTAATATGGAATATCAACTCCTTGAGTATGCCATTATTTTCTCTTTGAGTTGCATGTGCTGTCCATTTTAGGTGTTGTTACTGTTGGTAATGATGTTCTTTTTTAGTTGATACAGTTCTTTGTAAACAATATTCAAAGAAGGATGACCTTTGCCAAAACCCTCAACTTCACTCACTCATCTGAGAAATCGGTTGTATACAGCTGATAGTGAAGTCACTTTTGGATCAGTCAACCAACGCTTTTATCCACTTAGCCATAAAGAAGGCCGGGTCGTATAACGGTGGAAATGTCGTAAATATGACAATAAAGATGGGGACAACAGTCCTAACAGTGGAAATATTTCAGAAGGATTTTGGTGTTATACACACTACCGACACATCTTCCAGAGCGTGCTACTTTCTGACCCACTAGAAAACTATACAGCATCCTGATGACACAGTACTTCACACAATTACACTTTCGTCGACATGTTTAAACACGCATTGCAACTACACGGTTCGACTCTTTCTTTTCAGCCTATGAGGCTACAAAATCACAAACTCTTACCACAGATCAACACAAGGAAGATGTTACAGTTCATACCAAATACACAAGCTCAGACCGACACATCCATTGGTCCAACAGATTTAAATCATGCAAGACATATATACGATAAGTAACCTTTTGCGATGGGCTACGATAACTCCAAGCTGCCTACAAATTACATCAGTTTCTAACATAACTCACTACTTTCAAAACGATTTTGAATGCATTATTTTAACAAATACTTTTCGACAGTAAATGCTCTAGAATTTACTCGTTTGACTAACTCTGTATCCAACACCACTTTCGATACTCCGTAACCAAATCAATTCATTTTTTCCTGTACAATTTTCCTGTAGCCTAAAAAGTAGAATAAGGTTGCTCATTTGAGCAACTATGTATAAGCATTGGTACACTACATATATTACTGAAATAGTCCACAATAGGTAATAGGGAGAGTGGAACATTCCATTATAACAAAAACGGTGAAACCTAGTTGCTAATTTAGTAGCACGCTTGAATTCGAGCAGTCGAGTCACTAAGGAGAAAAGCTCAGAATAATTGCCATGAAAATATTTGTAGAAAAGACAGAAGGGAGCCACGTCAAGACGGCTTTTAAGTGACTAAAGTCAAGATACCGGGTCAGGATCGATTAGATTACTAACATTCCTTTTTTGTGTTAGTAACTCTCGTAGCGTGACATGGCACAAAAGCAGGCATATAGTTATCTAGATACAAGTCAGATTAATTATCTGCCAAGGAAAACACTTTAGATGAAGACTTGTCGAATTTACAGTAATTTAAAACTCAACCTCCGACTAGTAATACACGCTCAGGAAGACGGGGTATGTACAGAAGAAAATGTTGTAGTCGATGAAGATGACGATGTCCCTTCTGGGAAACGTCTCTTTCCCAGTCGACTGACGACTGAATTCTCTTTCCACTTTCCAACACAACGCTGGGGCGTGTTTTGCTGAACCTCCAACAATGAAGTAAGACAAGTTTTACTTTGGTCATTTTTAATTTTTACATTTTAACGCTACGTTGACTTGAGCTCGACCGATGAAGTACAAACTTTACTTTGGTCGTTTCAACTCAGCGCAAGGCTGATTTAAGTTCGGCCATTATAAACATTCTTATCCTTACTTATTCTAACTTCTGGACCAGTAAAAGAAAATGGACATACTCAAGAGACATTAAGAATTTTGTTTCGCTGCATTTTATATATATATAAAAGGATAAAGTCCGTAGTAGAAACCCAAATTTGTGCTTCTTCTTTGTGTGTATGTGAATATGCACACACCTACAATACACCGAAACGCATCTTTAAATTTCATAGTACATTAAAGAAAGAACACGAAACTAAAATGAAATGACATATAACGATTGGTTGGGAACTGCTGGCAAGTTTATCATGTGTGCCGGTTTGTTTATGTCAGGCTCTGTAAGGTATCACTATTCATTTTTCACATAACCATGATTCGTCTTTGGGAATGATAGTGGAGTGATGGTTTACTGTTATCTTCTATTATTGAAATCCCCTCTAGTTAGCGGGTCATTGACTCTTTTTCTACACGTCAGTAATAAATACTGGACAATTTCCTCATGAATAAAGAGAAAATTTGAGGCAACAGAAATGCGGCTCTCGGTTGAGAATGCCATGAACGGAACATGTGAGCAATGAGGAAGTTTGAAGGAAAAGTTTAAGAAACGACACTTAGAAACTCTTTGGATGGAGGTACGGTGGAGTAGCGCCTCAGAGAGCAAAGTTCTAATTCCAGTTGGATCCATTACATTCACTTACGTTCTTGGGAAAGGTATGAATTCTCTTCTTCTCTTTATGGGTAAATAACAGACTGAGTTCTATAGCCTATGAGAAGGTAACTGAATTCAAAACCGAAGAGAATTCAAAACTGGAGAGGCTATCTTGCCCAATCACTTCTACTACGGCAGCAGTGCATGTGGTGCCTCTACGATAAGTTATGGGGTTCGTGCCCGCGGATAATAATGAGGAAAGATGGCTTGGAGAATTTTATGAATTGCTGATAGTAAAAGAGGACAGTAACAAGTAACATACCTAAAGAGATGGTGTAAATGGATTGTAGGAATGTTGGGGAGACAAACATTACTTCGAGCTATGAAGTGTAGGAATTGTAGAAAGCCATGACCGCCCACGTCCAGAAGGGACACGAAGGGAAATAGAAAGAGGACAATATGGATCAGAATACAGAATAAGATTACAGATACGTGTGAGCAAATAAAAATTATTGAAGTGGGCGAGAAAGATAAAAAATAAAGATAACAAATGGAGTAAAGTTTATTTTTTATCATTTCACCCCAAGGAAAGCAATAAAGCAACTAAAACGCACAAGGTTACTGAGTGTGAAAGAATATAAAGAAAAAAAAAACGTTATTAAGGAGAGATAACAAAATAACAACAGTAATTAAGAAGATAGAATATAACGACTGATATTTAATTTTTTGAAAATCAAAGTCTTATTGGAAAACAAGAGACCGGAAGAGAAATCCACAAGAAGTATGAGCGAAGAAACTGTTAACATAGAACTTACGGTGACACCTAGCCTATTCCAAGTGTAAAATGATGAGAAATAGCCACCAATCTAGTATTGTGCTTAAATTCATAAAGTCTAGGTACCAATGAGGAAAGTAATATTTATTTTGAAAATACAAAAATGTGACACAAGGCCAAAAAAGTAAATAGGGGGGGGGCTAGTCTTCAATCTATCTTAAACTTAGTGTTATATACCGTAGCTATGAACACTAATGGGTATGTCCCAATCCTCATAAATACGTTGGACACTATCGTAAGTGGGGTTAATATACTGTCTAAGTAGTCCACCACTAGCAGTGGTTTACCTACTTCACGCTGCTGGCGAGTATTGTATTTTATTGATGTTATAAAGATTACCATTTCATTTCCAACCTCCGTTTTCGTTATTCCTCATTCAGTAACCCTTTCTAGGTTACAACACTTAGCTAGCCACGATTACTAACCCAAACATACCACACTATTCCTTACACCCAGACAGCACATTCTTACTTACCTTTCTTACTACAGCTACCATAATACCTCAACGTCTCTATGTACCAAGAAGGAAAGTTCAACAGAACAATTACCATGAAAATATTTATAAACAAGGCACAGGGAAGCTGCGTTATGGCGGTGGCTAAGTGACTGTAGCTGAGATGACAGGTCAGAACAAATAGCGTTGCAGATTTTTCTTTGTGATTTATCAAGAATCTCTAAATACATAACAATCACTTTCCCACCGCCGTAATGTAGCTCGTTCTCCAAAGTTATGCAACGTCAAGCCTGGTTAGTACATAGATGGGTGACCACTTGGGAATACCAGGTGCAGTAAGCTTGGATGTGCAGCTGGTGTAATGGATAAGGGCTTAGAATTGGAAATCGGAGAGCTGAGATTCAATTCCAGTCGGGTTTATTATATTTACTTACATGCAAATACCTTTGGGAAAGGTATGAATCCACTTCTTCTCAATCGAGCTATGGGTTAATTAGTAGGACTTGTCTCAGTAAACCATTATTATCTGTTATAATCTATAAATATTTTTTGGCTTTAAATAACTTGCAAAAGGTTGATAAATTGGAAAAAAAAACAAACTAGCTTTTTATAAATAAACATTATTAACCAAGCAAAAATAAGTTCTTTGTACACATTATTTTATACAGAACTGAGTAACACTTATCTTTTGATAAATAACTCCTAAACCATATCGTCGACAAGCAAATACCACCAGCCTTAAAGAATTTTAGACAAAATGACAAACTCATTCCGATAAAAAACAAAACAAAATGAAAACATTAACTTATTCTAGCGTGAGAAGACGCACCCTAACATTTAACAAGATGAAAAAGCCACCAAAAATTATAATTTGTAATAAACACCTTATATTCATCATTTACTAAAAAAAAGTTTAAAGCATTCAATCTAGACATTACCAACAACTCAGGACCTCAAAATCCCCCCTTAAGTAAAACAATGTTATTCTTGTGTCCTTTCAGAGATTGCATCTCTAAAACCAATAATCGAAATACATTCATTACATTGGTCACATACGCACCATTCTCTCTTGTAGGCTAACTTGTCAACAACAACAAAAATAACCAAGATGCAGTGATTAACGTCAAATGGGCTATTTTTTGGCCGAGCCTAATGGCTCGGGAATTCCCACGTTAAAAAAGGCCTTGTGCCACATGACACCCTCGTGGGGGGGTGACTCAATATCGTGATTAACGTTAATAGATTACATCAAAATATGATACAACACACTGTAGAGAAAGGCACAAAATATTCGAAGTTATTATGACATAAAAACAAACAAACAAAATACGCATTAAATAAAATATCTTTCATCACAGGAGACAGCATTTTAAAATTTGCATATTTAATATGAGTAAAAAATAGTTAAAATTAATTATATATTCGTTTCGGATTTTGTCAAGCTCTGTGAAACTTTTCGACATATAACGTTACTTAGACGATATTTGAATTTGAAATGTAACTTTCCCAAAAAACGCAAGCATGAAGCCAACAAGTTTTGTATACGATACTGATAATATTTAGTTCTTGCTAATGACTGAGATGATCAAAACTACGGTAGGAGTTCGTAGGACGGGTTTAATTTGTTCACAAATTGAGTTCGTATTGCAAATTACACGTATTACAAAGCATCTTTTCCTACTGAAATTAATGGAAGATTAATTAATCCGTTTCAGTTCTCTCAAAGCATCCAAAATGTCTATTTTAAAATTTAGAAAAATTGAAAACGGAAAGTAAGAAATTAAATCACGAAAAAGTACATGTAATAAGAACATGAAAGAAATAAATGAGCATGAAAGAAATAAACAGCTTTTATTAAACTACAAAACTTTCATGAGAAAGTTTCTGACCTTTTCACTCAGAACTTAAGGACTTTTGTGGCATTTGATTCGCTTTCAGCACTTGCAGGTCGATTCTTTAGAAACTTATCAATAGAAATCTGGTTTCGTCTTTGCTTTCAAAATGCCACGAAAATAGTCAACACAATTTTGGTTGAAAAAAGCAGCCACATGACTTGCACTTAATTTTGCGGGTGGTATTTTTCTACAAAGTCCACTTTCTCCACATCGCCAACATATGTTTGATCTTACACATGGAGGCAACCTCCGACGCACATTCCTCTTTGGCTAGTTCCATTACCTCATCCATGTTTTGATGCTCTTCTCCTAAAGTCACCAGCTCCTCTCCGTGCTCGTCGGGAAAGAGAGGCAATCGATAGCGTTTAGTAGGTGACGTTATCTGTGATAAGTACTTTGAAGAATTTTTCTCCAATAAAATGAATAAATGTTCTGGATGTTCACAGATACGCTTCACATTTTGCCTTTGATCGTGTTGTTTCTTACAAATAGATGACATCAACCGGCAATGCTTTCCTTTATCTCAGTCACTGACTGCTTCCGTCTATATGACGGTTGCTCGTATTGCGAATTTTTATTCGTACAATGATACAAAAATGCTGACGAATGTCAGCGCGTAAAGCAAGTTCTGCATACAATGGTGCACTCGTACTACGTGGTTCTACTGTATTCGAACTAAAACATGAATTTTGGACAGTTTATCTATAATTTTCATCCGGCTGTGCAAACATTTATTTGAAAATAAAAAAAACAACAACAACAAAAAAGAAAACAAAAAAAAAAAAAACATAGAGAATAAAAAATTAAACAGAGAGACCTTGTCGATTGAATTTAATTTACAACCTGTTTAAATGAATTCTTACTGCATGGATTGTGGGTGTGCGAACAGTGTAATGGTGTTATGACGAGTGTTTGGTTACAAAGGAAAGGAACAAACAAAGATTACATTTTTAACAGCCGGTGTTCATCAAATATACTTAATACATAGTTCTTTGAAATTTAGCAAAAAACTATTCATGTATGGTTCTTCAGCTGCTGTTGGTCAAGAAAGCTATTAGGCGTAAGGGTGTCGTCGGTAGGATCGGGAGTTGACCAATTTCTTGGGTTGGTTGTGTAAGGACACAATTGGAGTCAGTGGATATATTTGGATCGAATTAGCCGTTGGTGGGTTTTGGTGCAAGACGTTCTTTAAAGTTGAAATCGACAGTAAGTTGATCGATCGAGGCCACAGCGGAAGGTTGATTTGTGGTAAGGCGCGTTGGTTGCCGAGGTTATGGCGGTGACGACGAGGGATTAGGTGTAGAGAGCGAACGATGATGAACTGCTGAATTCTGGTCGAATCGGAGATCACGATGGTGACGACGAGAGAGGCCTGGAGTGGGTCGAGCGGAATGTCTGCTCGAATGTGATATCAACGAGAGGGCGTTACGCTAGCGACGACGAGGGAGACCTGAAGCTGGATGGTGATGACGTCGAGGTATTAGAAATCAGGGTGGTTAGGGCGGGGGTCTGGCGGTGTCGAAGCTGGCCTGTCGGCCGCATTCTGTGTGTGAAGAGTAGGGTGAGATTAGTAAAGCTTGAACGAGGTCACCATCATGGAAGTGACGGCGACAGCGCGCCTGTGTGTTAGCAAGTGGCCTTTCGGACCGCAGCTGTGTTGGTCGTTACTTTCTCTTTAGCAAATCTGATGGTCCCCAGTGTCATCTTTATTTTTTAAGTAGGAACGTTCGTGATTGTCTATTGTATTTTTATTGTGGGAATTTGTTTTTGTTTTATTTTACTTTATTCTGCTTTCCAACTGACACGTAGTGTAAATCAGAAGAAGATTTAACTGCAGCAGGGTATATCAATAGCTATTGAAAAGTGAGGCTTTATGCACAAATCATACGTGTAGATAGTCTAGAAACTGAAAACGAGGAAGGAGTCTATTATATATATATTTTATATATACGAGCAGAGTCAATTCCCAAAGTATGACCAAATATCAAAATTTTGCAAGTCGAGAACCTTTCAGGACGGTGAGAGATAAAGGGTGCACCAGGGGTTATATTTTAATTAGGGCAACCACGTTGAAGAGGAAACTGTGAGGTTATCTCAGTCTCAGTTGTTTCTGTTTTATAACCGGCTTAAACGATCTTTGAAGTCGGGTCTTCTTCGCGACATTTACTTGATCGAAGTGGAACGGAAGAGTAAATGTGTAGATAGGGCTTTTAAGGTGAAGCGACACGCAGGACATTGATAATTCTCGGTTTCTAGGTCTATATTAACAGACAGAATTGATATCGAAGAAGCTGACTCTCGGGTAATTCTGAAGCCGCTCGTTGTGATTTGTCGATGGGAAAAGTGTTTGTAGTAAGGTAGAGCCGAGCTGTTAGATCAACATAGCAGAAGTTGTACACAGATCAAGCAAACAAAGCCCTAACAAAACATCTGGGTATATGTGAAAAGGGCTCGAGTTCTTATTTCTCGACGTGGCGTTTATTTTCATTATTTGTTTCTATGTGAAAATTTATTGTGTCAAATTTTCAGTTTTTGTTAAATAAATCCCTTTTTGTTTAAACAAATAATTAAAAAAAAAATATTTTTGCGTTCATTATTTGGAAAAGTGTACTTTACAAACTGGTGCTGGGGTGCATATTTAATAGGCTTATTTTAATTTTTTTCCCCAAAACAATTGTGACACTACAAAGTGACACTGGTTGTAGCTGAAAAAGTTAAATGAGGCACTATTGTTACACAGATAGTATGAAAAGGATTAAAAGAGTTCATGCGAAAACCCCGTTTAGTATTTGGAACGGTTAAAAACGTTAAGGTGAAATCATGAGTTGAAATATCGAACAAGAATAAAAAATAAAAGGATTTTTTTTCTTTCTGATAAGCAGAAATGCACTATGGAATGTCGGGTCCAAAATATAATTTGAGAAAATGTGGAATATGGATAGCTTGTCGGCCTAGAGGCAGATGGAATTATTAGAATTCGCAAAGCCGGTAATGTAAACAATCTGGAATGCCGTTTTGTAAACATGCAAAATGGACAGAAAATTATATGAGTTATATTGGAAAATCGACAACAAAGAAAATTCTTCGATCTCAAGAACATAGAAATAATTTATAAGCACAAAGTTTGTTGCCAGAAAAATTATTGTTTAGAATAAATAACCGATCGTAGGGTGATTGTCGTCAGGATATAGAAAGGAATGATAAACAAAGTTTGTTGCCGAAAAATGTATAGTTTTGAATAACTTACCGCTTTGTTTGAAGGTCAGTGTCGTTTCTCCAAAACTGGCGAAAATAATTAATTGATATGAATATTGATGAGTTTTGAGGTGAGGTTGGTGTCGGGCGAAATGCATATAAACAGAGCGCTTAAGCGACCAAGTAGTTGAAGTGAGAGAAGGCAAGAAACGCAGACGAGACGAGATAAGACAGCAGCGGAGAAAGGAGCTACCGAATCCCATGTGACCTGCTGCCGAGAGAATTCCTGACCGAACTCTTTCTTTGTTGATTGAACCCGCTCCAAGTATTAGAAGAAAAAGACAAAGTGTCACTATAGAGAGTTTAACGAGAAGGGTTAATTTTGTTGTATTAAAAAAAAAAAAAAAAAAAAACTATATAAAATTAATCTGGCGACCTTCTTCGTTATTTTGTTATGTTATTTTATGCAGAAGCGTTCTTTTTATTTTTGTAGCACGGTTCCGCCGCCGCCCGATCTAGCGCTCAAGTACGGATGAAATTTGATCTTCACTGCTCTGTGATAAAAGAACACAAAAGATGAAGGAACAAAGCGGAAAGCAGATAACCATCAGCTGACCGGCGGCAGTACTGACCAGTGTGGGAACAACCCAGGATTGAGCCAGACCGACTGTGTTATACAATGACCATGTCTGGGGTGGGGTGGTTCACAAACTTTCAAATGTCTCTCTCTCTTCTTTCTTTCTCTCTCCCATATATATATATATATATATATATATATATATATATATATATATATATATATACATGTGTGTGTGTGTGTGTGTGTGTGTATAAATTATTCCTCTTGTCATCCTTTTTTATTCATTATATATATATATATATATATATATATATATATGAATAAAAGACAAGAGGAATAATTTTTTAGCCGACGCGTTTCGTCCTCTGAGGGTCTTTATGCGTCGGCTAAGAATAGAATTTCTTCTCTTGGCTTATTCATTTTGTTTTGTTCCTTTACAGATACACTCTATCGGGAAATAATTTACACACACACGCACACATACACACACACTAATGAAAAACAAACTACGTTGGTAGAGAGAGATTCAGATTACGCTGATAAGAACAGATACTACACTTTGATCTTAATATCTAGTGACACCAATTTCGACCCAAGGGCTTATTAATAATAACTTCATTTCAGTGAATACGAGATGTTTAAAAAACAACTGTGCATGTTTGTTTTTTAAAATCTTTTAGCTTTTAAATCTCAAGATGTTTAGTTTTATTTCTAAAGATATATTTCATTCTACTCATCGATTAAAGTATTTTCAACTGATGAATAAAGTTCAATTTCAATATGAGAAGCATTTTTTAGCATTATTTTCTGCTTTTTCTTTCGATATTTTTTCCTCTCTTAAAAAGTGAAACTTAACATTTTTCTGGTTTACTTTGAAAAAAGTGAAACTAAAATTGTACTTTTAGTATAAAAAGTCGTTTCTGGAAAATTTCGACAGTTTTTTTTCCCAAAAGTTGGCGTCAGAAAGAAGGAAAAGAAGCGACAACTCAAATATTTCAAAGTTTATGATCTGAAATTGCTACTTTATTTTTCATTGATTCATCGACCTTGTGAAAAATAAATTTTCCTTGAGATTGTTTTTCCGGCTTCAAACTCATCGAAAAATATGGGAGTAAGTAAAAAAAAAAAAAAATCAGTTATTTCTTTTTTTCTTAATTTTACATTTTCTAATACAGGTTACACCCCCTCAAAAAACTGGAAATTTGGTACAGTTTATTTATTTGAAACAAAAGCAAAGGATAGAAATTTATTACCTTCTTCAAAGAAAACAGTACAAAAACACAAATGTCAGATGTGTTCAAACTAAAAAGGTTATTTTTTATAGTATTTTTATAGTATTTTTTGTTAATTAATTTTTTCATCATATAGTAAATTCTACGATTTCTTGATTTTTTGTGTAAAAATTTTGAAATTTCTTAGTTTTTTTGTAAAGAACCTTTTTTTTTTTTTAGATCGCGTACGTAAAAACTATATAAAAAGAAAGTTTCTATGACCAGTACACTTACTTTTTTCAGTATAACTAAAACTAGGTCATTATATATTATATAAAATATTAATTATACATATAATATATATTATAATATGAATATATATATTTGTTTTGTAGACATAAAAAAAATACGAACAAAATTTATTATAAGCAGTCGACAAATTTGTTCATATTAATCGACAGATCGATTTATGGATAGCCAGACTGTCAGTGTTAGCTGGAGGGAGGTAGAAATGAAGTGACAAACCACTATGCGTGCGTAAAAACTGAGATGAACACACACATACACACGCACGCACACACACATACATTTCCTATAAGATAGATAGATAGATAGATAGATAGATAGATAGATAGATAGATAGATATGTGAAGAAAGTAGAAGTGTTGACATCCATAGAGTTTCTTGGGATTTATTTCAGCCACTCCCTTTTTTCTCGCACTGAGAACTAAAACAGAAAACTAAATCTGTTTTTTTTGGGGGGTGGGGAACCACAATCGATCACTCTGCTACGCGGAAATCAGAAAATTTAATTTTCCGTTCTTTTATTTATCTTTATTTTCTTTGTTGAAACATTAGCTTCTAAAACTTTTATGCGCGAAATAATAGTATACGCCTCATCATTCAATTTAAAAGTTCAAGCGAAACGCAAACAAAAATATGTATTTAAATAAAATCAAGACAAAAAGTATGTGAAATTAGGAAAATAAATATAAAAATGAAAAAGTAAAAAAAACAAAAGAAATCTTTAAAAATGAATTAGCCTACTCCTTTTTATTTTATGACGTTCTGATATGAACAGATAATGAACTGAGATAGATAGATAGATAGATAGATAGATAGATAGATAGATAGATAGATAGATAGATAGATAGATACTGCTCGGAAATATTTCTCGTCAGAGTCCATCTTGGACATTTATAAATCTACCATTCGTCTGTGCATTGAATATTGCTGCCATATCTGGTCTAGTACCCCCGCTGTACATTTCGTGATTCTTGATAAAATCCAAATTTAATCTGGTCGATTTTCACCTGGCATTTCATCTTCTATCACTTTCTCACCGACTTGATATGGCTTCCATCTGTCTTTTCTACAAATATTTTCATGTAAACTCTTCTGATGAGCATTTTCCTTACTTAGTGTCCCGACTGCATGAATTTAAGCTTTAAGCGTGTTACTAGATTGGAAAAAAGCAATACGTCTTTGGTTCTGATTCCTGTCAGAAAGTTACGAATAGTTGAACAGGAAAAGGAATTGCTCTTAGCGGCGGGATATTAATGGATAAAGTACCATAATTTCTTCTTATAAGTTATTTATATTGTTTTATGGAAAAAAGCAATACATGTCTTTGGTTCTGATCTGATGAAGTCCATTTAACAATGTCGAAACCCGTAATCAAGTCAATAGAACAGTTTCCCATTTTGTCAAATTTATCAAACTTTATCTGGATTAATTATTACAAATCTTGTCGAGATGAAAAACACAAATACAAACTTATACGTAATCAGAAAATACAAGAATCTTTTACTTTCATCAATTCAACCCATTCTGACAAAAAAAAAATGGAGAAGAATTTCAATGTAGAAAAGCTGGGAGAAAAAAAAAAAAAATCCCCAAAGCAAGAAAAAATCCAAGATTAGAATGTCTGCGTCGAACAAAATCTGCTAATTGTCGGATGTTAATAATAATAAAAAATCGAGCATTATTGATGTTGTAATTTTACCTCCAAAAAATTTCATATAAAAAAGAAAAGAAGATACAAGATAAAAAAAAAGGAAGTATAATGAAAAAAAATTATAGTCAAAATGATTGTTATTCTTAAGAGGAAAACTCAAATGAATTTTTGTAAAAAGAAATAAAATTTTATTTTTGTAAAAATAAAATTATTTTTCAAACTTGTACTTAATTTCTGAAATTTAAGCTAATAGCCTTCTTTTTTCATATATAAGACTTTACGTAAACGTTTTAGAAATTAATGTTTTCTATAGAAGAGGGAAAATGAAGTGTCTGGTTTATTTTGAAAATTAAATGGTAGTCATGATTTTAGATAAACAGCTCAGCTGGCATATATGGGGGTCATGAGGTCAATTTTAATTTTCTGTTGAGTCTCATCAAAAAGTGCTGGTGCCCACAGTGGTTTGGAAGGATCCCTAACTGTTTTCATATCTCTCTAAAAGGCAAGCATTACTGATAGGACAGAGATATATTTATAATGTATATGCATTTCTAATGAGTTTATCATAGGAATGCATTGAAATTTTCTGTAAAACTGACCATTCCAAGAAATCTTCGCAAAGTTTTTGAATCATTGGAAGAAAGAAAATTGTTCAGATCTTGAATCTTACTGGCACTGGGTTTAATTCATTCCTTAGAAATATTAATATTCCTCTTATTCGGACACATGCAACATGGTTTACAAGATCTCGCACGATGTACATGATATATGAACAGATCGACATCACAAAAAGTAGTACAATATAAAATAGCCAGCTAACTAAATTCATTTCATTTCATTTGTATGGTTCGTCATGATGGTGGACTGCATGATTTGAAAAGCCAACTGAAATTATCGATCTTTTAAAAATTTGTTTGCAATATTTTTTTGTAACTTTTCAAACATCTGCTAATTGTCGGATGTTAACAATAATAAAAAATCGAGCATTATTGATGTTGGAGTTACCTCCCAAAATTTCATATAAAAATGAAAAGAGGATACAGGATAAAAAAAGGAAGTATAATGAAAAAAAATGGTCAAAATCTTTGTTATTCTTACTAACAGAAAAACTCAAATGAATCTTTGATGTAATTTTTTAAAATCCTTTTTAGAACCTTGGAAATTTTGGTTAAAAATCATGTTTTTCTGGCGTCAACGTGAGACCTTAAAAATTTGTCTGGGAAGTTTGAGCGTCTTTTTGCGGTGAAAAGCACATTGATTTGGAAATTCTTGCAAAAATCAAATAATTGTCGGATTCTAATGAAACTTTCAATTCTTCGGAAATTAATGAAATTATTTTTGAAACGTTTCTTTTTCTTTCTTTTTTTTTTTTTTTTAGAAAATCTTATTATTTTTTTACATTTGTAATCCACCACCCGACTTATTTAATTTTTATGATATTTCAAGAAATTCAGTTTTTTTTTCTCACATTTCTCATTCCAAGGAGCATACAGTCAGAGAGTTGGCCCCGGGCATTGACAAACATCACCAAAAAATCTTTGCACGTCCCTGAGATTAAGCATCGGGTGACGTACAATGAATTTTTAGAGTTGAATGTTCATTTGTTAAAAATCTTTATTCACGGATCATCATGTTGTATAATTGCTATAACTGATTGTGGAAAGGCGTTATTAATGATTAAAAATGTTAAACTTTTCCACTCGTCAAGCCCTCCAAATGTTTCTTCCAGTCATGTCTTTTAAATCATTTTTAAAATAAGGAAAAAAAAAAAAGACGGCATGTTGAATGACTAAAAAATATTGATTAATGATTCAAATTAATTTTTAGAAGAACGAATGTAAATGCATTGCTAATTATTTTACTATAGGAATCTATTGAAAATCAGTAAGGGCTTGTCAGTGGTCAGGAATGAATGTAAGCATTACTGATAGAATAGGGCTATCCAATGTAAATGCATTGCTAATTATTTTACTATAGGAATGCATTGGAAGTGAAGAAGAAAGGGATTGTCAGTGGTCAGGAATGAATGCAAGCATTACAGATAGAATAGGGCTATTATATGTATAATGTAAATGCATTGCTAATGATTTTAATATAGGAATGCATTGAAAATGAGGAAGAAAGGGATTGTCAGTGGTCAGGAATGAATGTAAGCATTACTGATAGAATAGGGCTATCGAATGTAAATGCATTGCTAATGATTTTACTATAGGAATGGATTGAAAAAGAGGAAGAAAGGGATTGTCAGTGGTCAGGAATGAATGTAAGCATTACTGATAGAATAGAGCTATTATTTATAATTTAAATGCATTGCTAATGATTTTATAGGAATGCATTGAAAATCAGTAAGGGATTGTCAGTGGTCAGGAATTAATGTAAGCATTACTGATAAACAGGGCTATTATCTAATGAGTTTTACGATACATATTTACTTAATTTTACTATAAAAATGCTTGTAAATGATAAAATATATAAATTGAATTTCAAAAAATGTCTGGTCAAGGACTAATAAATCAAGTTGTATCAACAAAATCTTCCAGCTATATATTAAGTAGGCTTTTCTTTCTTTTTTAAAATATACTGAAATGAAATCAAAGTATAATAATTGTTTTAAAATTTTAAATGCATCAATAAAGTATGATAACAGTTAAATTCTAATAAGCACAATGGAAAATTTTTAAATATTTTTTAGAGAAACTTTCTTTCGTTTATAAGGAAAAATAATTCTTAGTCTTTCTTTCTAACTTTTAAAAGGAAAAACCAGACAGTAGGCGTGTCTTAAAAATTATGTATCACTTTCAGATTCTGTTACAAGACAGTTTTTCTAGGAAAAGACCATCCTTCCATCGTTTTATTTTCACCATCATTATTTTTTAAAATACTGGGATGTCGTAATAAGTACATACATCCCATTTCTTTATAACCACCCATTATAATAAAATAAAAACGTTTTCAGATGAATTAATCAGATATTGAATTGAAATTCGAGTTGTTACATTGAGATTTAAAATTTATTTTTTCTATCGTCTTTTTATATTCCAATCCAAACGCCTAATTTAATGGATCTGTCCTGATTCAACATATACGGAATATGAACTCTGTCCTATGTAGAGGTGGGTTTCTCTTCCTCTGTTGTCGAACTCTCTGTTGATTCTTATTGCTATGAACAATTCTACTAGTTTTCTCTTGTTTTTTTTGTTTTTTGTTGTGAAAAAAGTTTAATTCTTTTTTTTTTTTAAATGTAACTGAGTTGAACTTAAATAAATTATTCTCCCTCAAATTCAATGTGAGTTTTATTTTTACCTTTCTAAAAATAAAAAAATTTACGTCCTCTCTATGGTGAAAATTATTCAATTAAAAATTTCTTTGTTCTTTGTGGAGAAACATAACTTTAGTGGGAATGTTACAGAGTGGAGACGGAACATTTGAATGTCCTGAGCTACTAAACTTTGAATTTCTCTCCATGATACTTTTGAATGAGACAATATTTTTGTTTTATGAAAAGAGACTGTCTGGTGACATCTGTCACCCATATCTTGGGTGAGGGATCAATTCCAAGCTGTTTGAAAGGATAAGGTTATTATTGATCACCCATTAGTAACAAGAAGTGGAGGTGAAAATTCTTACTGATAATTATTTCAAAATAAATAAATTTCAATGTCTATAGGAATTACTTACATTATTTATATTATTCAGACTGTTATCCTCATCTTCATTGCCATATTCACTATGTTTTGGCCATTGTACATTCCAGCCTTCTTCAGGTGATTGTAATTTTAAACCAAGCCCTTAATTTTGTCCACCAGGGCAGATTGTTCTAGTTCCACATGCCATGCATCTTCCAGATATCTCACTTATTTCTCTTTAATTTAACTCTCTGAAGAAGGCCAGAGTGTACAATGATTAAAATGTTGTGAATATGGCAATGAAGATGAGAATAACAGTCTGAATAATGTAAATAATGTAAGTAATCATAATACATGATCTCAGCAATATAGACAGATGTAAAGGAATTTTATATATATTTATTATAATATAAATTTTATATTAAGAACAATATTGCTCACAAAGAAAGAAAGAAAGAAAGAAAGAAAGATATTTTTACATCCTTAGCTCTAGTAAGAGCGCATGTGTTTGTCAGTGAAAGCATTTGCTACCCAGGCAGTGACATCTTCTACCTACCACATCCTGGTGCAAATGAAAAAAGGTTCCAGACAATTTTGTTGCAATTATTGTAACTGAATGTGTTTCATGTCTCCAACAGCACATTTTAAGTAAAAAAAGACCCCAGAGAACTTCTTGTGTGCTAGTAAAATCCAAATTACTAACTTGGCCATCAAAATTTTTCATATCAATCATTAAAATTAACTCTTATTCCATCTGGTTACCAGGTATAGATTCAAAAACTTGTAAAATCCATACTGTCAAGATGGCAGCACTGAATTTGAGATGCCACAATCAGTCCAGGTTCATACCATCTCCAGGAGTTTCTCATTTCTGAATTTAGCAAAATGATCGAGTCTGCCGATAAAGTCTCTAAATTTTCCCATTGATGTTTCAAGCATCTAATATAACCTTGGTATGGTCTAAAACTAAATGAAAATTAAGGATAAGCATTCCAATCACTTGGAAAACTACCCAGCCAGACATTGACAGAAACGGATCAATTCACAAAAAAAAAAAGTAAAACGTTTTCTTGCTGTCATAGTGAGCATAAACATAAATGGAAACAAAATGCCTTATCAATTGTGGTAACATCAAGGACACTGAGCCAATCCACTAGATCTGAGAAGACAAGAGCACAAGTCAATCTCAAGGAATGGGTTATCAGCTAAGAAATACCTCTAGAGTGGTCATTATAATAAACTGAGAGGAAGTTGAAGCTATTTGACAGGATATCTTCATGGTTGCTTGCAATAAGATGACTCTCTTAAATACAAGAGGCTCTGAAGATTGCAAATAAGTTTCACCTTACAAGACTCCAACCTCAGTTCTTGAACATTCACACTTACTAACGACAGAGTACTATTGTCAATTAAACTTCTGAATGATTGTTGGAGTAAGGACACTGACTGCCCACCCCAGTGACCCCAGTCCAATCTTTGTTTTGATGTTATCAGCCTGAGAGATGTTGCCGATGTCCCATGGTATCATCAATTTTAATGTTTAATAGAGAAGGGAGTTAACAAAAACAGAGAACATCTTTCTTTGAAACAGAATTATTTAAAATTTTTTGTCTTTCCATCAGATATGATGGTCAGTGGTGGTGACATATTGAATTTGTTTGTCTGTTTAGTGGCATGTCAATTCCTTATGGGTCATTTAATGCTGAAATTTAATTCTTTTGGAAGCATTAGTAATTCTTTTACAAAAATGTATTTTTGGTAATATTTCCTTTTCTTTACAAAAATGTATTACTGTTAATAATATTTTTTTTAAATGTATTACTGACAATATTTTTTCTTTCTTTTATTGCTGGTAATTTTTTTACTATAAAGATGTATTGCTGATATTTTTACAATAAAAATGTATATTTATATTTTCATAGTGCTTGAACAAGTTTGGGGGTTAACAACTTGGTCATAGCTAGGACCCTAACAGGTACTAATACCCCAGATCAGGGTGGACCTGGGAACAACAGCAATTAAAAAGTGGATCCATGCTCCTCAAAACTTTCCAATCAGAGGCCTTGCTGACAGATGTAGTTTATCATCATACCCAGGGTGGATGATATATTGAAGGCCTTTCTAGTCCATTCTACCATATCCTAGATCTGCCATGTTGCAAAACCAGTTCTGATGACAGGAAATTTGCTGCAGAGCTTTCAAATCTTTGGCTGTTTTTTCTGCATTAAAGCCTTTTGTGCTTTCTCTCCATAGTGACGGCAGCCATAGTTGTATTTACTTTGAATTACTCAACTATAAAAAAAAATGGTAAAGCTTCACTTATGGGCAGTAGTCAAATTTCATTGAATAAAGCTTCACTACATGAATTACTCATCTATTTTTTCCTCACAATGGTTTTTCTTCTTGTTCTATGTGCCATGTTCCTTCAGGACATAGGTGATCATTGCTCTTCACAACTATTTTGTGGGGCTCTTATGAGATTTTCTCCCTTTATTATCTCTGTTGCCCTCAATATGCCCTATGAGGGTTAAGTTTTCCAAGCCCTTCCTTATCAGGAATTTCAGCTATCTTTTCTTGATTTTGAATACAAGTGATCTTTCTGTCACCACTTTTTTTTAAGACTTCCTTGTTACTTACTCACTTCATCCAAGAATTTTTTATGGCATCATGTTTCTCTGAATTTATTTGAAGATTTATGCCAAATAATTTAGTATAATGTTACATTTCAGGGTATAATTTCATGGTTTTTTAATTCTGGATCAGAGGAAGTAAATTTTGAAGATAAAGGTAAGTGCAACTTTCATAATTATTTTCTGAACTCATTTTGTTTTATAACTTTTATAATTTAAAAAAAATGTTACCTATAAAAAGAATGTATAAACATAAAAATGTCTTAAAATAATTGTTGGACTTTGTCCATTTCACAATGTGTGATGTCATTTGTTTACATTTGGATACACTTTGAGCAGATATGAATGTAGCTTAGAGATTCATGGAAGATTGAAGTGTAAAGGCAGTAAATTCAACCTTGCTAATCGAACGATTATCTGTGACTTGATCGAGCACAAATGACGGTTCTGTATAGGATACAGGTTTGAATCCTGTCAGAGGACGAATATTTTCTATGAAAATTTCTCGGACATTCAGGCCGGTAAATGCTATAAATACTGTTTCTTATAAAAACAGAGCATTTACTTAAATATCTAATATTTGTATCTATAAAAAGAATGTATAAACATAAAAATGTCTTAAAATAGTTGTCAGACTTTGCCCATTTCATAATATATATACTTATATATATATATAAATATATATATGTAAAATAGATAGGTTAGTTGATAAAACAAGGACAAATGAAAGAGTACCAATATAATCAGTACAAAAAACATTATTAAATATATATATATATATATATATATATATATATATATATATATATATATATATATATATATATATATATAATAAATATACTATGACAGAAATGAAGCACAGAAATAAAGGTTTTCAGTTTGGAATTTTTGACATGCTGTGTCTTGCATCAACAGAGCAAAAAATAAATAGGGAAATGGGAATTACTCACAAATGGATGTTTTTGTGGATGGTGTATTCTCTGGTGGAGATCATATTATTAGCAAAAATCAGATCTCTGTCTGATTCCACAATGTGCGAAACTTTTTATGAAAATCAACTTAAATTTAAGATTTTGATTGGTGTAAAAGTGTTAGGCTGGTCTATTATTATTAGTCGGAGAGTGAAATTGTAAACATAGATAAAGAGAGTCATATGTGGCGGAGTGGAGAAGACGTCTTGTGTGTAGTCAGTGTAGCCAAACCAAGTTGTCTATTTCAGAACAACGGACTGTACTTAGAATAACTTCAGAAAGAAAGGCTGTAGTTATGATAACATCTGATGAGACAAAAATGTGAGCAGGAACAAAAGAATATATGGTAATATAAATATAATTAAATGAAATGAGTTGGAAAGAAAAAAGGGAAGGAACAAATAAAAAGATAATACATTTGCATAAAAAGAAAGAAAATAAAAAAATAAAAAATTAGGGGATAGAGAAAAAATAGAAAAAAAAAGTTTTAATAATAAGAGGAAAAGTCAAAGTTATCAATATAAGTTTTTTTTATGGGGAAGAGCTCTCTTTGGTTTTATATCCTCCTTGGAATTATCCCTACTTTTTACCATGTGATATTATATATATATATATATATATATATATATATATATATATATATATTGTAAAAAACAACAGTATAATATATAAACCAAATAATTTTTTTATCTATGAGTGAACAGACTTTGGAGAGAAATGAATAGAATCCATTATTTTAGAGAACATGGTTAAATCTTTCATTTTAAAACATTAAATAATGTTCATGTGACAGGCAACAAAAGTTTAAAAATTAAATTTTAATATTTTAAATTCAATTAAGTCATGAAATATTTTCATTTTTTTGTTAATTTTTTTCTTACAGGCCCTCTAAAGAGAATCGTATGTCTTCTAGAGAATATGCAAGGTGTAAGTAAAAATATCTATTCGAAAAACATCATCATCATCATCATCATCATAATTAGTATAGGACAACAAATTTTTCCACAGGTTCATTGTGTGGCTAAGAATCTGAACAGATTGCTCTATATGTTTTTCATATGTAACATTCTGAGGCTATAGGAATGATCTTCCAGTACAAATATATGTGTCTGTATGACTTATTGTACATTATTCTATATTGTATAAATAGAAACCAAACAAAAATAAAGACTGGTTTATAATATCACATCATTCAACAGTCTAGTGATTAATTGTAGATTATACTGAATTGTATACATTAAAAATAAAAAAAAAATAAAAACAGGATTATAATAATAACACCTTTTTAAATAGTCTTGTGATTATTGTACATTATTCTATATTGTATAAATAGAAACCAAAAAATCAAGACTCGTTTATAACTTCACATTCTTAAAGAGTTTTGTGATTATTGTAGATTATTATCTATTGTATAAATAAAAACAAACAAGAATAATTACTGGCTTATAACTTTACATTCTTAAATAGACTATTGGAGAATATTCTAAATTGTAAAAACAAACAAACCACAATAAAGACTGATGTATAACATCACATTCTTAAATAGTCTTGTGATTATTGTAGATTATTCTCTTGTCTATAAATAAAATAAAACCACAATAATGATAGTGTTATGACATCATATTCTTAAATAGTCTTGTGATTATTTTGATGACACTATACTGTATAAATAAAGCCAAACCATAATAAAGATTGGGTTATAAGATCACATTCTGAAATAGTCATGTGATTATTGTAGATTATTCTCTATAATATAAATAAAACCAAACCATAATAAAGATTGGGTTATAATATCATATTCTTGAATAATCTTGTGATTATTAGCAATTATTCTATATTGTATAAAAGCAAAATATCATAAAAATTTTATAACTTCACATTCTTATATAGAATTGTGATTATTGTAAATTCTATATTTTATCAATAAAATTAAACCAAGTGATACAAATATTTTTAAGGTGTCTGAATATTTTAGATGTTCATTATTATTAATTTTTGACTAATCTTCCTTGTATCTCATTTTTTTACTTCTTTTTACACCTAGTAATAGTAGTAGTGTTAAATAGTAAATTTATTAGATGAAGCATTGTCTGTCTATATCTCTGAGATGATGTATTATGATTATTTACGTTATTCAGACTGTTATCCTCATCTTCATTGCCATATTCACGTTTCAGCCATTGTGCACTCCAGACTTCTTCAGGTGATTGGAATTTTGAACTGAACCCTTTATTTCATCCACTAGAGAAGTTTGTTCTAGTCCCACGTGCCATACCTCTTCCGGATGTCTCATTTATTTCCCTTTAACTTAACTCTTCATGTCTTGGTTCACCACTGCTGGCCTGGAGTTGAACTCACAACTCTTTAGGTCTAGTTATCTTTATCCACTGGGCCATGTGTCCTTGAGGATATATGTGTATGAATTTCTGCAATTTATAAACCTAATGTTTAAGCAACATATTTTACCAGTGCTCATATTGTAATTTTTTGATATTATTATTGCATTTTTTCCTTAGATGAAGCATTGTCATTATTATTTGGACAACTATTTCTTTCATCTTATATTTCCTGCTTCTTTACACCCAGTAGTAGTTTGAAATTTGTGTGAATTTCTGTGATGAAACTTTATTATTATTATTATTATTATTACTTTATTATTATTAATAGTAGTATTGACATTAGTTCAAATTACTTTCATTTCATCTTATTAATTTTAGCTATTTTTTTCACTTTAATCTTTATTAGTAGTGTAGTAGTAGTTATGTGAATTATTTACATGAAGCATTCACATTATTATTAATTTTTGACTAGTATTTCTTTCATCTTATTTCTCTTTCTTCTTTACACCTAGTAGTAGTAGTGTTAAGTTGTGTTAATTTCTTTGATGAAGCATTGTCATTATTATCCATTTTTGACTTTCTTTAACTGACATAAAACAAATGAATTGTACAGAATATAAATATTTGACAAGACATTCCTTTAACATTATATTTTCATTTTCAACACTATCTTTTTAATTTTTGTTAATAAATCTTTTTAAAAATGTCTAACCCATTTTTTCTTTTTACTTTATTTTTCAGGTCAATATCATTGTTAACTCAACTGACAAATCACTTAAACTTTCAGATGGGGGTAAAATATCAAAAACAATATTGAGTTATGGTGGAAAAGAAATACAAGAAGAACTCAATGAAAAATATCCCAATGGAATCCAACCTGGTAAAGTTGCTGTTACTAATGGATATGGCCTTCCTTTTAATTATGTCTATCATTGTAGCTTGCAAGGTATAAATAACAGAGTTTCTCATCATGTAAGTGAAATTAAGAAAACATTTTCTTTTTATACTTTTTTTTTTTATTCTTCTTTTGGTCTTTCTCATTTATCTTTATTTTCTTCCTTCATTTTCCAATTTTTTTCTTTGCTTTTCTTTCATTTATTTATTTTTTCCTTGTTTATGTAGGGTTTTTTTCTCTTTTGCTTTGTCGTGTCCCCTAAAATATCAAATACAATATTTATAAACCAATCACACTCAATAAAGTGCTCATACCTTAAAGCATACCAATAAAATCATAGAATACAAATCAGAAAGATTGTTTTACTAGTCATTATGATTTATTAAGATCCTTCCAAAATATCATGTGGACGTAATAGAAGACTTACCATGTAGCTTTTTAGGGCCAATTAGGAAGAAATAAATAATTTAATTCTGGAGCTGATATTCTTATGAAAAAGTGAATAAAACCCACAAAATCTGGCCCCAAACCAGATATGCACAAATGTCAGCAAGATCCACATCTTGCTAATGGTATTAAGAACCTCATTCACAGCTACATGCAAAAAGCAACAGTGCTGATGAGACCACAAAGAGACCACTTTAGACTATGGCACCACAGTTAACAGGAAGAATTAAATTCTAACAATCTCTTGTATCCTCTTTACTATTAACTATGCACACATGTGCTGACTTTTTCACACAAACACATATATGACAACATTTCATTGTTTCTCACATATATACAAAAATACAATTTATATTCTATTCTAGAACTTTATTAACCAAAACAAAAAGATATTACTTTCTGATCTATAACCAACTGCTTGTATTCTTGTCGTTATATTAAATTAATATTTATTTGTTGAAACTATGTTGTCTTTTTCTACTGGATTTTATTATTTTAATGAAAATTGTGTGATTATTCTAAACAGATGAATTACATGAAGCCCCACAACAATATTTTATGTTATTGTATCAAATCTTGACACTCCAAATTTTGACATGCCATGAAAAACTGAGTGGAAGGATTCCTACAGCTTTGTAAATATTCTTTGTCAACTTCTTTTTTATTATTCATTTTCCAGATTTTAGTTTTCTTGATTTTCTTTACCATTTCTTTTTCTTTGTCATTTCTACCTGTGCCATTCTCATTTTTATCATTGATTTTCTTCTTTTTTATTAAAAATTAATTTAAGATATTGTCTATTTTCAATAATTCAAAATGGTAATTGTCACAGAAAATCACTGCCATATAACCATTGAAATACAAAATAATGCTGTTGTGTTAGCCCCATTTTTAATTTGGGACTGACATGAATAAGAATACTTTATCAATATAATAAAGATATTTATTTAGATAAAATACAACAGTTAAAACATAAAGAATATGTCCTTTCCTATATATAGAGAATATGTTAGGCGGACTTACCCATCTGGTGAGTGAACTAGGGCGAGGTAGCTTTTATCCTTAAAACCCTCGGCAACTGGTACTGTCAATGGTGGAGAGAATTTCTTCCATGTTATCTTGGAGTATGTCCAGTTCCTTCTCTCTGGGGTGGTCAGCTTTTTCTGAACCCACATGGTTTTATTAACCAATGAGAGGCTGCCTAACATCATGTAACCAATATCTATATATAGGAGATGATGAATTTTATAAACCCAACAATGGTCTGATTATTATAGTATCCTGTCCATTGCTTCATAGATTAGACATTGAAAGATACAATGAAAGCATAACATATGGACACAAGATTGAAACAAAAAAAAAATGAAGAGAATTACAACCAACAAATGTATTCAATTTCATTATCACATTTCAGGAAATAAGGGAGGTTGTTGCTGAATGTCTTCGGGAAGCTGTAGATCGACTCAGGCAGCCAACAATTGCATTTCCAGCCATTGGAACTGGTGCTATGAACTTTCCACCAAGAACTTTGAGAGCCATTTATTGTGCAATCTTAGAATACATGGTAGAAAATCCAGACAAATTGGAGGCAGCATATCTCATTGTTCACCCTTCACAAACTACACTGATTGATTATCTCAAAAAAATTGACCCAGAAAAAGAAAAAAACAGACTGACATTCCCAGGTAATCTTATTTTGTAATTTATTTCAAGAAATATATATTTTTTATGTATTCAGAATTTTGTATAAGTTTACAAATGACAAAAGACATTTTATCAGGAAGTAAAAGAATCCTTTGCTTATTAATTTATTTGTGTTTTAATTAATCTCCCAAATGGGACTTTTTATTGCAGATATATATTTTAAAATCATGAACAAAAGGAATTGTAAGTTGACATGAATGAATGCAAGCATTTCTTAAAGAAAAGAGTTATTACTAGGTTATCAAAAAAGTCCTGACTCACTTAGGAAGAAAACAACAGATCTTGATCATTGTCTGGTATATTTTTCAAAGAGTACTGCATTTTAAGCTTGTTCCATATAGTTGTCCCATCAAAACTAAACTGCCAGTGGCTAGACCATATGTACAATGAAGTGAAAAAGAAGTAACCTGCTTTGGTCAGCCAAAGTCAGACTTGGTTTCAGCAAGAAAATGCAAGGCCACACATTACCATGTTGACTAAGGAGAAGTTCAAACAGATGGGTACTGAGATTCTTCCACATCCACCATTCAGTTCTCAATGCTGCTCCAAGTGACTATGGCCAATTCCACTCAATGGCACACTTCCTCCATGACCAGCGATTCAACACATAATGAAGTGAAGGAAGCTTCTTTACTGTTTTTTTTATGCAAAGTCAGTGGACAGATTTGGATGCTGGCAGAAGATCATCAAGAATGATGAACTTTATTTTGAAGAATAAATATTGGTGTTGCGCCATAAAATTTTGTTATTTTCTTTCCACTTGCTAAATGAGTCTTGACTGTCTGGCCAAAAATATATATATATACATAATATATATATATATATATATATATATATATATATATATATATATATATATATATATATATATATAATAGAAGATGCATTACTAATTATTTTATTACAGGAATGCATTGTGAATCAGGAAAAAAGGGATTGTCAGTGGTTAGAAATGAATGATAGAATAAGGTTATTACATAGGTATCTCTTAAAATTTGATAAAAAAGACCATAGCATGATTAAAAAGGCCCCAAATTTGATAAAAACTAAGTTTTATTGCCAAAATGTCTATGTTATTATTAAGAAGAAAGTATTTCTTGATGATTTTATTAAATTGTTTAATCCTTTCTAGCATGTTCAAAATTTTAGATAAAAATCTTGTTTTTTTTTGGTCAGTGGGTGAGCCAAAGATTAGTATGTGTAATTTAGCATCTTTTTTGCAGTAAAAAACATTGTTTTGGAAATTCTGGCAAAGTTCAAATAATTGTTGGATTTTAATGAAATTTTCAGGACTTATTCACAAATAAATTAAATTATTTTTTAAATATTATGAAAAATCTTGGTAAAAATATTTTCCTTTACATCCATTACTCCCACTTAATTTTATGAAGTTTCAAGAAATTAAAATTCCAGTCTCTTCATATTTATATTATATAAAAGCAGGTCACCTTGGAGTATTCAAATCATCAATTTGTTTTTGTCAAACAGAAGAAACATTTACTGAAAATCTGTTCTGAATTGTAAAATAAAAAAATGAAATAAAACTATGACATTATTTAATTTGAAAAGCTTTTATTTGCTTTTATAAATAAGCTATATTAAGGACACTATTGTTTTAAATGAACTTTTATAAGAATTGTTTTCATTATTTGAAAATTTTAGTTGGATGAAATTTTTAAAGATTTAAATTTTTTGAAATTCTGTATTAATTTCACTCTTTTAGATGATATTAAGTAAAAATTATATCTACCAGTCATAAATGGTAAGATATAATATAACTAATCAAACACTAATATTTTTAAAATAGCTTTGAATTTTTTTTTGTGTGTATAAGGCTACCATTTTTGGAGATATGGATGCACATACATGACATTATCAGAAAATAAGAGCAATAACTATAGTAAATTTAAAATTAGAAACTATCTAAAATTCAATAAAACATTAGATTACAGAGAAGATTTTCTTAAATTTTTAAGATTACTTGAATACTCAAGAATTATATATAAAAACTGATCATGTTATATTCAATTATTTTTTACAGCTAAATTTTACATAGAACATAGATAAGCATCAGTCTTTCAAACATATAAACAGCTACCACCATGATAAAAAATGATTTTCCGAGATATTTTAAAATTAAAGTAACTAATATTAGTTTAAAATCAGATTAATTAAACTTTGAATCAGCTAATATTTCTCAGAAAAATATTTCTCAAAAAATTCTCAGAAAAGTATGTTTTATTTTTGAAAGATTTTGAATAAAGAGAATTACACTGTGAGGAAAGACGACTAAAAAAGGGCACTAATCAGAGATTTTAAAAAAAGAAAAAACTCTTCTAGTCAATTTAAATTGTGTTTTGTAATACAGCAAAGTATTTTGCTTATTGGAAATATTAAATTTAATATCTTGAAATTAAAACTAAAATAAGATCTTCAAGAAAGATTTTTCATTTTTAAAAATTCCTTATAAAGCTAAGGTATTGCATTTTAAGTTGTGATACCTATTAATATATGTATAATGTAAATGCATTACTAATAATTTTACTACAGGAATGCATTGAAAATGAGGAAGTAAGGGATCGTCAATGGTCACAAATGAATGCAAGCATTACTGATAGTATAGGGCTACTATACATATAATGTAAATTCATTGCTAATGAATTTACTATTGGAAAGTATTGAAAGCAGGGAAGCAAGGGATTGTCAGTGGTCAGGAATTAATATTATTTTTATTAAGAGAATAAGCCTATTACAAAGGAATGCTGAAATGGTCTTGATCAGAACCACTTTTGAAAATCAGTATTTTATGACCAATATCAAAATAGTGATTTTGTGATGTGAGTTGAGCTAAGAATATTTCAACACAATTTCTCGTATGCATAATCTCATGGAATTTAATTTTTAGAAGACATCACTTTTCTTATATGATTCCTGCTTCATATAAAAACAAAAATTATTATTAGTAAATATCTTTTAACATGTTTTTGTACCATTTTGTTTTCAGTTACATTCCCATCATGGTCACAAACTGAAAATATTCGCAGAGTTTCACTACCAAATTCTGATAATATGTATCAATTTGTTGAGGAAAAATTTCTGGAGACAATAGGTCATGGTGTTTGGATCAAAAAGGTAATCAATTTCTCTCTCTCACAATATATATATATATATATATATATATATATATATATATATATATATATATGTATACATGAATGTATTTTTCAGTGTGCTCATGTCAAACTGAATATGACACAATGTCAGAGTTTAAAATGGTTTTAACAGAAATACTGGGAAAAAATTGGTCATATCCACTCAGTTCTTCCCCTCGTGGGGATGCTTCAGACACCAGACAATAAACCCAGCCACCTTCTGAAGGGGAGGTAATGCCTGTGGAGATGGTTCCCTGAGGCTGATATTTTTTGAAACTTTTTTCTAATAAAAAGTGATATATATATATATATATATATATATAGTCTCTTACACAAATCACGTATTTTCCTACTCATTTCTCTAATAAATCAAGCAACATTGACTTGTTCCTCTCCTCCTCTTCTAGCTCTTACTAAGCTTCACAACATTGTCCTTTTGGTAACTAAGTAACTCTGTAATATGTAATATTTCATTTCAGTTATCTTTTAGACAGGAACCTCTTATTCATAAGACCTCTTTCTGTTACCAGCATGTTGAATGGGATTCACTCCATGACTTTATTTCATGATGTCCCTTGAATTGGTATTTTTAACCTTCCTTGTGAGAATTGTGTTAGTGAGGTTTCTTGGCTCAGAGGGCATTGATGCTTTTATTCCTTCTTGGAAATACCTCCATCTTCTCCATAGTTCATACCAACATGTACTTCTCTATAGGCCCTAGGAATCCCTATTTCTGGCTATACCAGCATGACAGTTCTGATCACAACAGACAACTATTTATGGCTTCACATAATAAATGTAAACATGTTCTTGAAGGAGCTAAGTCTTTGTTTAGAGAATGAAGCACTATGCTGCATTGATTACTGGCAGCTCTGTAATACTGTATTAAATAAGAGTAAGTCCCCAGGCATTCTATTCCTCCTCCTCTCTTCAACCAATATGAGGTAATAACATCTTTTGCTGATTAAGCTGAATGTTTAGCCTGTATATTCTCTCTAAACTCTACTACTCTTGACTCAGCTTGAGAATCCTTGCCAACTTTCCACTTAGAATTGAGTCTCTGTTGCATGATATATATATATAATTCCTTCTCTGTTTCCTGTTATCATTTCTAATCTGTATCCCCACAAAGCAAGTGGACCTGATGGAATCTCTGTAATAATCCTTAAGAACTGGCTCCTGTTCTCTCGAAATTGTGTAATAAATGCTTTGCTGCCGCTTGCTTTCATATCTAAGTCAAGTCTTTGTCATTTGATATTTTATACTGGATGCTAAATTCCTTAATCTTTAATGGGTGGATAATCCTTTCATTTTTTGCCTTCTCCAAGGGATTTAAATTAGTCATTATTGGTCTCTCTAAAAATAATAGCAATTGCTTTAAATGAAAACTGTACAGCTAATCATCTTTGGGAATCATAAGGAGAATATGTTTATCACATATAAGGTCTAATGTTCAAAAAAGGCCAAAGTACATCAATCACATGTTTCAAACAAGCATGCTTAAATATCTAATGTAATGTCTTAAAATAAATTTCAAGAGAAGCATCTACTACTTACATATGAAGTCTTCTTTGAACAGTCAGATATCAGTTAACCTGGAAAGAAACAGTGCAGTTATTAATAAAAAGTGTTTAAATAAATGCATGCAAGATATCACTCCTTCATAATCAGCCGATGAATTTTTCAGCCTGTCCTTGCCAATTCTGTGTCATGTTTCTTTGTTACAACAAATTATCACACTATAAACCTATTAATGAATGCTTATGGATATTATTAATTAGATTTTCAATAATTTAACACAATTTTATCCTTATTCATATCAGAAACAACTACCACTTGCCACCACAAGCCACAAGGTGATTAAACACACAGCATGTTTACATTCAACTCCCAGTTGCTGTATGATATGATACTAATGGAATATACGGTATTTGTTACTTATGATTGATAACTCTAAGCTTTTATATGTTTGTGGTTCATGATTGCTTGTTTCTTGTTAGTAACCTCCACTCTGCAACTGAATATTTCTGTAACAATACAATTTCTCACAAATCCTTAGGAGATAAATGAATAAATTCTTTTTTCCTTTTAAGTCAATTTAATTACCAGAGTTCCATAGGAATTTCATCTTTTAAGTCAATTTATGACCAGAGTTTTCCAGGTTCCTGTTTCCAGTCCACCTTTGAATTGGCAAACATAAAACTTTGTTAGCGATTTTAGATAATCATAAAAGTAGAGTCCTTTGAAAAACTGATCACCCATCCAGCTTTTGGATAGTCTCCTTTTCTGGAACACAAGTAGATGGATAGGGGTGGTGGGACCCCAGTGAGTGTGCATATAAAGAGTCAGTCAGTGAGAAGAAGTGCATTTAGTGATGAATGGTCAGTGAGGAAGGGACCAGCAAGCAATGAGGAGTCAGCAGTCACCTAGATGGTCAGTGAATGTAAGGGTCCTCTTTCCGTGACCAGAAGTTAGTAATATAGTAGTTCACCTTGTCGAAGCTGAAGGAAAATTTTGCCAATTTAGTAAGAAATCATATTGTTGTTATTTCCCAACCAGTGTCTTAAAAAGCATTTGTTGTTATTCTTTGTTGAATTCAAACATAGCCAAGGAGACAAACCTGTGAACATAGATAGATGGGTGTATATATGCATGGTTTCACTGGTGCACAGCAAATAAGGTAATAACCAACATCTGCTGTCTAAAGCGCTAATGATCAACCAGACTAGTCTCACTAAACATTATCACATTCCAATTATTGATTGATAGATTTTATAACATGTCAATATGTTTTAGGTTATTTAATGTTGAATTTTGTATGGAGTACTCTGTGAGGATCAAACTCAGTACTCAGCAAAAATGCTCAACCAGACTAGCCTCACTTTTCATTACTCCATATCAATCATTGATTAGTAGGTTTTATAACATGTTAATACTTTTTGGGTTATTCAAGGAGAATTTTTTTATGAGGCACCAAGTGAGGATCAAACTCAATACTCAGTAGAAATGATCAACCAGATTAGCTTCACTGTTAGACCAACTCCCCACCTATCAATTATTGGTTGGTTGATTTTATCATGTCAACACTTCATCCTAGTGTCTTTATGGTGAAATAATTTCAGAGAGAAAATGAAAGAAATAAAGAAACAAAGAAGCAAAGATAGAAGAGGCGATAATGCTCTCATGTATTTAACAACAGTTTCAGTGAAATGGAAAACCATGTCAATTTTTGATCTTTTCATTTGTAATCTCTTACTTTTTTTTAATAATGACCTTCATGATTGTTTTTGACATTTTTTTATGCAATATTTTGGTTAAGTTGTAAAAGATTCAAATATTCAAATGATGTGATATCTCGTGGAATTTCTACAAAAGACATTTTATTATGGTAGAACTCACTATGAGATTAATCATTAACTTAATTAATTAAGATTCATCAGAAAATCAAAATAGTAAAACCATGAAATTTTCATAGGTATTTCTAGTTATTATCTATTGTGATTCTTAATGATTTTAATTTTACAATGCAAAAAAATGGATTGTTTACGGTTTAATGTTGGTTTACTGAAGTGAGTATTATTTATTATACTCTTCATTTAACATTTGATGAGGAGTATTTTGGATTCTAATTTTCTTTTTTAGATTGAAAGAGTAGAAAACAAAAGACTTTTTGTTGCTTATCAACGGTATAAGAATGATCTAGTAGATGGTGAAAGTACTGAAAAATTCTTGTGGCACGGCACCAAGGAGGAGCATGTTGATAGCATTATTCGATATGGATTTGACTGGAGGTTGACTGAACGTAAATATTAAAATATTTTTATTTTATCATATTCCTGTGCATTTGACAAGACCAATAATGTTTCTTTAAAATTTAATCCATAATATTTTTTTAAACTTATATCTTTTTTAATGGCCATGAAGTGCATCAATGATCAAACAAATTTGAATACTGCCTAGGCAAGTAGACAAAAATAAATAGATATAATGTTTAATAAATGAAGTATCTTCTCAAATATGGAAAAACCACTAAAAATAAAATTTAGGTAATAAAATCTGTTGGATTAATAAATAAAAATCCATCACTTCTTTAGAAATTACTTAGTTTACATTGGAATATTGAATCAATATGAATGTTTCTAAATCTGGGAAAATATAAAAGTACTATTCAACTTTCATTACTCAGCAACTAATTTCACATACAAAACAGTCTAAAGCATGTCAGATCTAATGATGGTTTCTCCTGCCAAGGAGGACATAGGTTCAAATCCTACATATTTTTCTTTAATAAGGTTTCTCAAATATTAAGGCTGGTAAACAAAAATAAATATACTGTTTAATAAATAAATGGAGTGTTTACTCAAATATAAGTATCCACTAAAAATACTAATAATAAAAGTAATTAATAAAATCTGTCAGATTAATAAATAAAAATTTACAACATTCTAAAAACTAATGCAATGCAATATTTTATTGTTTACCAATTTATAAAGAAATAAATATGTAAATGAATTTTATTCATAAATTTATAAACATTTAGTAAATTATTAAAATATATAAACCAATAAGGAAATCGTTATTTTCCATCTTAAAAAGTTCAAGTCAATTGATAATTAATTAATATTTTGCCAACATTCCAATAAACAATATAATAAATAAATAGTTTATTATCTTTTTTTTGTCAATTCTCAAGAACAAAGAAAATGAAAATAAATAAATTCTTTCAGATGATTAGGTTTTATTAAAATTCAAATCATAAAAAAAAAATAATAAACATTACGGAGGAGTGAAGGTAGTTAAAATAATAGCAGTGTCAAGGGAAAAACCATTCTTTTGACCCAGTTTTTTGCAGGTATGAAGGTTCAAGATTGTCATTGAGAGCATATATTTTTTACCAATGTTATTAAAATTAGATTGCATCATTTCAAGTCATCCATAATTCAACTGTCCCATGCAGCTCCTACTAAATTTTAATTCATTTTTATAATAAAATTATTTGTAATTTATTTATGTAAAAAAAAAAGATTTCCTTGCATTTCTCAAGTAAATTCTATTGCAATTCATTTTTATAATAAAATTATTTGTAAATTATTTATGTAAAAAAGAGATTTCCCTTGCATTTCTCAAGTAAATTTTATTTCAATTCATTTTTATAATAAAATTATTATCCCTGTATATTTATAATGAATGTATTTTCCTTGAATTTCTATCATTGATTCAGTTTTAATACAGTTTTATTCTGAAATAATTATTAATACTATTCTATATTAATATATTTTCAATTGCCTTCCTGTAATAGATTCAGTTGCTATACATTTTTATAATAAAATTATTATGAAGGCATTGCCATAATAAACTAATTTTCATTTCATTTTCAAATTAGATTCAGTTTCAATGAATTTTCATACAAATCTATTCCTATAAAAATGACATTTTCTTTACAATCCCATAGTAAAGTACAAATGCATTTTTAGAAAATATGTTCATTACATTTCGATCATAGAGTTTCAGTGCATTTTATAATAAAGCTGTCATCAATTTTTATTTCATAGCTACAGTAGATTTAGTTTCAATGCATTTTTATAATGAAATTATTATCAATGTAATACTGTAATGAAAATAGTTGATTATATGTATCATGTAAGTATATTGCTAATGATTTTACTATCGGAATGGATTGAAAATGAGGGAGAGAGTGATTGTCTGTGGTCAGGAATGAATGCAAGCATTACTGATAGAATAGGGCTATTATATGTATAATGTCAGTGTATTGCTAATGATTTTATTATAGGAATGCATTGAAAATGAGGAAGTAAGGGATTGTCAATGGTCAGGAATGACCACAAGCCTTACTGACTGATTTACAATATTTAAATAATTTTCTTTATATTCTAGATGCTGCATATGGAAAAGGTTGCTATTTTGCTGTAAATGCAGAGTATTCTGACAGTGAATCTTATGCAACTTCAAGCAAGCATGGATATAAATATATGTTTCTCAGCTACGTTGTTGCAGGTGCATCTTGTGTTGGAAATTATTTATTTACTGAGGCGGAAATTCCAGATCATCTTCAATCGACAGTGAATGATGAAGATAATCCAACAATCTATGTTGCCTACGATGATGATCAAATGTATCCTGCATTTGTTGTGGTGTACAAGTATAACTAAACACACATCAATCTACATACAAATATACATTCACATATAATGGTCAGGAATTAATGAAAGCCTTACTGACTGATTACATATTTAAATGATTTTCTTTATATTCTAGGCACTGTAGACAGAAAAGTTTGGTATTTCATTGTAAATGTATTCTAACTGTGAATCTTATGCAACTTTGAGAAATAATGGACATAAATATATGTTTCTAAGCTATATTATTGCAGGTAAAGAAATACCTAAAAAGTTTGAATTTTTAAAAATGAAATATCTTTCTTGAGGTTTTTATTTTAGTTTTAATTCAAGGTTATAGATTAAACATAATATTTGAAATAAATGAAATACTTTGTTGTATTTCAAAATAAATTTAAATTGATTAGAATGTTTATTTTTTTAAATTGCTAATTTTAGCCATAACAACACAGTCATCAGAAATGCATACTCATTAAAATTAAAAAATCAATTACATGTACAAAAAACAAAATATTTAAATATGTACCTGAAATCAATAAAATAATCTGAAATGTAAAAAAATATATATGAAAATTCTTAAACAAAACTTGTGTGCATTATATATATATATATATATATATATATATATATATATATGAATAAAGACAAAGGGAAAACTTTTCTAACTGGTGTTTCATCTTCTATATCAAGTTTTATCAGTTTAGTGATGACCAATATCATGTATCAATTTCACTGCGCAGTACAATAGTTTTTGTCATAAATCAGTTGGCTATATAGGTCATACTACCATCTCCTTGAGCAGACACCTCATGTGTCTCTTATCTGACCATAGTGACATAAAAATGCACTTGGATAGTCTCAACTTACAACAACTCATGAGGAAGATTTTGGTCAGTAACATTAGCATCTTGTATAGGTTGTGTTACTGAAAACATCTCAGTGCTGCCCAAATATACTATATATATATATATATGATAAAAAATATGCTCTTAATGTATTCTATATTTATAAGTAAAAGTATTCAGTATCAAGGATAGAACATATGTAAATATTAGATTGGACAGTGAAGTCAACAGCAAGCATTGGCAGTCTGTTTCATGCTTGAATGCAATCTTCAGTCCATATTTAGCCTAAAGATTGCATTCAAGCAGGAAACAAACTGTTACTGCTTGATGTTAACCTCAGTATTCATATATATATAAGGGGACAAACAATTCTTACTGATACAAAGGAGAGGAAGTTGGGAAGACCCATGATTACCCACATACTGAAGAAATGTAGCACACTAAACAAGAAGAAAATTGGAGAACAAGAAGATACTGTTCATAAGAAAATATATTTTTTTCCTGTAGCCAAGTGGTTAGCATTCCAACTAAAACCCAAGTTCAAATCTCACACTAGTCAATTTGTCAGGGAGGCAACATCTTGATAATATCAGATAGGGAACATGTAACACTGTTGAGTAATACCTGAAAATCATTCAACAGGTTGACACAAGCTTTGTGAATGAAACTGGGTAATTCAAACAGTTATGCTAGCAATGAGTGTCTTGTGCAATGGCCTGTTCAGCCATTCAGTGAGATGGTAGCATTTAATAGCTAAAACAGCAAAATTTTGTGACAAGCAGATCTAAATTGTTGTTTGATAAAAGTCATCAAGGTGTCTTTAGCATTTGTTAAATGAATATAACTTGAAAGTTTTTCTAAAGAAATACCAAGTTTTTTACATTCATCCATAATTTTAATGTATGGAAGACAAAATGGATAAAAAAGACAGTAAAAAAGAAATGGATTAAATAGCTTTTTTTTCTATAACTGTTAAGAACTTAATTCATAGTATTATGAAAACCAAATCCTCCAAAACAAACAACAACCACAAGTTATTAATCAATAAAATATTATCTAATATAATATAACTTTAGGGTCTATTTTAGCATTAAATGCATGTAAATGAAGCATTTATTTTAGAGACACTTAATTTTCTTTTTTAAACATTATCTTAAGAATGAACAAATTCCCAAGAAAAAAATTATTACTAGGTAAAGAAAAATAATTGTTTTAGTACCAATTAACTATCAGTAATCCAACATTATTGTAAACTCTAGGAAGCTAGATGATTTTAGAAGATTATGGATATTTACATTAGAATCTACTTTAAAAAAATAGCTAATCACTTCATCATATCTTTAAAATACCATGTAAATCAGTGCATATTGAACATCACTAATCTGATATTATTGAAAACATGTAAGGTACCAGATTAATGATGTTTTAATTGAAATCCACATAACCCAATAGCTAAACACATTATCATACCTTTAAAATACCCTTTAATTCAACTTGTATTGACCATCACTAATCTGATATTATTGAGTGTCTGTAAAGGCACTGGATTAATGATGTTTTCATTAGCTAGCCACTTCATCATACCTTTAAAATAACCTGTATATTAGTGCATAATGACACTCACTAATTTGATATCATTGAGCATCTGTGAAGGTACCACATTAAATATTATTTGATAAATGTTGATATTACTGAGAATCCGTAAAGGTAGCAGATTAAATATCTTTTCATTAGAATCGCCATAACCCAACAGCTAACTACTTCATCATATATTAAAATATCCTGTAAATCAGCACATATTGACCATCGCTAATCTGATGTTAAGAGTTTGTAAAGGTACTGCATTAATGATATTTTCATAAGAATTCATTTAATCCAACAGCTAACCACTATATCATACCTTTAAAATAACCTAAAATCATCAGATATTGACCATCACTGATCTGATATTATTAAAGGTCTGTAAAAGTACCACATTAATGATGATTTCTTTAGAATTTACTTAACCTCACAGGTAACAACTTCGTTGTATCTTTTAGGTCTGTAAAGGTGTTGGATTAATAATGTTTTAAATAGAATTTACTTAACTAAACAGCTAACAACATCATCATATATTTAAAATACCCTATAAACACATTGTACTAAACATATAAACTACATTGTACTTTTAAAGTGACCATTAAATATCCTGTAAAATGTGCATATTGACCATCACAAATGTAATATTATGGAGGGTTATTAAGTTACCAGATGAATGATGTTTTCTTAGAATCCACTTAACACAACAGCTAAACATTTCATTGTAACTTTAAAATACCCTGTGAATCAGCACATATTGACCACCAATAGTCTGATGTTCTTAAGTGTCTCCAAAGTTACTGGATTAATTGACCATCACTAATCTGATATTATTTAGGTCTGTATAGGTACTGTATTAATGACATTTTATTAGAATCCACTTAACCCAAGAGATAGCCACTTTATCATACCTTTAAATTATCCTATAAATCAGTACATATTATCTATCACTAATATAATATTATGTGGGTCTGTAAAGGTACCGTATTAATGATGTTTTTATTAAAATCCACTTTACCCAGCAGCTAACCACTTATCTTATCTTAAAAAACCCTGTCAATAAGCACATACTGAACATCGTTAATCTGATATTATTGAGAGTTTGTCAGTGTACTAGATAAATGATATTTTCATTAGCATCCAATTAACACAACAACTAACCACATCATTGTACTTTTACAATATCCTATAAATCAGGCTATATTGAACATCACTAATCTGATGTTGAGTGTTTGTTAAGGTACCATGTAAATGATGTTTTTATTAGAATTCACTTCACACAACAGTTAATCACTTCATCATACCATTAAAATATCCTGTAAAAATGTATATGATGTTGACCATCACTAATGTAATATTATTAAGGGTTGGTAAGTTACCAGATTGATGATGTTTTCATTAGAATCCACTTAACAGCTAACTACTTCATTGTAACTTTCAAATACCCTGTAAATCAGAACATATTGACCTGATATTCTTTAGTTACTGAATTAATGATGTTTTCATTAGAATCTACTTAACCCAGCAGCTAACTGCTTCATCATATCTTTTAAATATCCAGTAAATCAGCATATATTACCCCAAGTAAATATACACCTTGAAAATTGTTTTTCTAATGTCTGCCATTTTTAATCCTTTTCTTTGTGCATTGTTGTATATAGCTTTGAACTGATAAACTAAAGTACTCAGAAGTGTTTCCAGTTTAAGAGATGATCTCAGTTTACTTTCCCACATGTGCCTGTCAACATAGTGAGACTTGTCAATATAATTTGAGGCACTGTTGCTCTTCCTGAAACCCAACTCAGAAATTCACAGTAGTCCAAGTACTGTGTTTTGAGATATGATTTCTAGAAAGGTTGCCATTCAAGACTTGAGACCCCATCCTAGCCTTATATATATATATATATATATATATTATAAATTAATTGATTTAAAATATGGTTATTTTCGCTACACAGTTCCAACCATGTTTCAAAAATAGAAGCTAAAACCCTAAATTCTTGAAGATGAAATGGAACTAATGCTTTTAATTTATTTGCAAAAAATAAAATTAGGGGTTTTAGCTTCTATTTTGAAACATGGTTGGAACTGTAGCGAAAATAACCATATTTTTAAATCAATTAATTTATAATATTAATGCTCTGTAAATTTACATTGAGCACTATTTTGTAAAAATAAAATATCTATAAGAACACGGATTTTATATCTTACTGTTCTTTCTTTTATTTATATTATATATATATATATATATATATATATATATATATATATATATATATATATATATATGGATGGATCTGTGTGTGTGTTTAGCTCTATTGAGTGCTTTCCAATAAATAGTGTGCATATATAATATATAAATAATATATATAAAAATTTCATATATACATATTGTTGTAGCATACCTATAGATGATAATGGATATGTTCCCATTCTCATAAATACAGTAGTATATGCTGTATGTTGTCTTCCACTTGTGGATTCACTCAACTCACTTCTAGCTCACCACTAGCAGTTGATTACTTTCAACATGTCGCTGGCAAATCTTATATCTTGTTCTTGTCCTAAGTATCATCGTTCATTTCCAACCTTCATTTGGTTATTCTATTC